GGCTCGGCGACCTCGAGGCTCCCTCTTCGGGAGCGGGTTGCGGCAATCGGCGCACGCACCCGTGCCCGGCCGGGCCGGCGCCCCCCGCGAAAGCGTTTTCACCACTCTTGATCAATTTTAATTGGCCGCCCGGGAGCGGGGTGTAGGTAGGGGGAGGGGAACCGGCGGACGCAACGCTCGCTCGCTCGTTCGGGGACTGCCTCTCGCGCGTGTATCCTTGCCCTGCGTTTTCAAGGTCGCCGCCTTGATGCAACGCTCGGGGTGTTTCCTACTTCTTGCGGCTCCTGACGTCACCCCCTCCCCCCGCCCTCTCATCTGCCGCCCTTGAACGCTACGCAGGGGCGGAATTTCAGCTGAGTGCCGATGGTGGCTCAATCCGGTCGGAGGGCGGAAAAGTTACAGGAAGTAGGCTCTCATCAACCTGGAAAAATGCAGGGAATTTATTTTATCGTTGTGAGATGAAACGGGCATTTTCAATTAATTGTGGTAGTACCCCAATTAACCGTATTAGCACCCCAATAAATGGGTTACCTACCCAAATGTCGCGGTACTACCATAATAAATTCGAAATGCCCATATCGTACAACCTATCGAGGTAGCACCACAATTTTCGGGGATAACACCTAACACCTTTTTACCGCGAAGGAAACCGTAAAAAATATGGGGCCACCTACTCGAAAGGAACACCTGTAAAAGGGGTATCTGAAATGTACGTTTTTGGTCGTTTCGGTGTTTCTAGTACAGGATTTTCTGTCTTTTCCTGTTCGTAGCGGATGCTCCAAGAGTCAAGACCAACATTTTTGTTATTCTCCTTTTTGTCATTGTGTTCGTTTCCGATTTACGTGCAATATATTCATATTACACACCTATCTTGTGTGTTGGATTTTCCCCCCTCTTCTCTTCAGAGGCCCTAGCTCATGCTAGATCCCAACAAAGGGGAGAAAAGGAATAGGCATAGAGAAAAAAAAGGAGGTGTTTGCATTTCGGGCATCTTGGAATTTTTTGATGACTTGATGACGTAGGTGGGTACAGCTGGGTACAGCGACGTCCCCTTCACGCTGTACCCACCTACGTCATCAAGTCATCAAAAAATTCCAAGATGCCCGAAATGCAAACACCTCCTTTTTATTCTCTATGAGGAATAGGCCAGGAAAAGAAAGGAAGACAGCCGTCCACTTTCGCCCCGTTTTTCCAGTGAGAGAGGTTTGCACTATATATTATCAAAAATGGCCCCCCTTTTGGCAAGATTTTGGGGGCAAAATAAAGAGCTTAACCTGCGTACAGCTTGAGAGCAGAGTATCATTTTTGCGACTTTGCCCCCCTTTTGGCAAGATTTTGGGGGCAAAAGGAGCTCAATTCGCGCACAGCTTGAGTTTAGAGTATAATTTTTGCGACTTTAAGTCGAATTTAGAGGTAAGCCTTGTTACCTGGAGTAAAATCTACTTTATCAACAGAAGAAGAAAAAGAAGAAGAATTTAGAGGTTAGGTTTCTCAAATTGCGGTCGACCGTTACCCAATATGATTCGGGCCCTGGTTATCAATTTTCTAGATGGTGCGGGTATGATGTGATGAGAGTGCGAACACTCAGGAACCCACTTGAAAGCGCAGGGATATCGAGATATATAAACGAGAAAAGCGAGAGAGGAAGCCAAGAGAATCCGCGGCTCTAATCGTCTTCTCGCCCTTATCTCTCCTCCTCCATTCTCGCTCATTCCTCATCTCGCTTTTCATCCCGCCGTCATCGAGTACAGTAATTTCCAGAGTCAGCCGGCCGCGGCCCAAGCCTCCAAATCCTCGTTCCTCTGACGAAATGGCGTATCTCCATTTCCATGCGAGTCCTCCGGTCCGTTTAACTCCGTGCTTTGTGGGGCTCACTTGAAAATTGAGATACGCCCTTTTACTGTAGAGGAACGAAGAGCGCGTCTCTCCGAACCCGACGCAGTTCCTTATGCAGCGGGCCGCGAACGAACCCCCGAATTCCCGAGTCATCAGTCGAAAGTTTCAAGACGGCGGTATCGTATGAAGGTTTCAGCCTAGAGTACCTTTATAGACAGAGTATGGCCATTCGTATCTTTTTACCAGAGGAAAACTGTTCCGCTTTTTGATTGGTCAACGAGTTTTTAGGCTTAATGATGCTCTTACGGCCGTAAATAAACAAACAAGATGGCGGCTCACCATAACATCGCTAAGAAGCTAAATTTGACAAAAATTTCAATTATACGGCAGTTACAATTTAAACTAGCATATCTACGAATAACACACGAAAACATTGTTAAATCGCCTTTCACCTTTATCACAGGAGAGAGGAGAATGTAAGATGTGCATAACCTCAATCTTGCTTGCTGATAACAGCCATCTTGTTTGTTTATTTACGGCCGTAAGAACATCGTGTCAGCCTATTTTCACGCGACCAATGAAAAACCAGAACAGAAATGGTCTGTCTATACTGTCTATACTGTCCATACTCTGTCTATAAAGGTACTCTACATATTTCAGCCTACCCAAGGAATGCCGGTGCCCGTAAATCATGGGAATCAGCCCGGCAGAACTCTGGAAACACCTCGGACGAGAAGTTCACTCGGGCAGTGGCAAGGGATTTTTCAAAGCTGGGTTGTAATGCAATTTTCCCTAGCAATATTGGTTCATTAGGTCTGGCAACAGCGGTTTTTTCTTATCATGGCTAAGTAGAGCGATGGCTCTTCAGACTCGAAAAATGCTCACTTTTTCGTCAGTGGTCCTTGGTAATGTCATTTTGTCACTTGTCACATTTGGAGAGCCACCCTCAACCTCCGTTCGACTATATTCATCTCCAAATGGGCATTCCACCTTCAGATATTTGCTGTACCTTGCCGCTCGAGGGAAAAACGCCGTACGAGCCCTCAAGCGTTGCCAAATCTCCTCGATAAAGTATGAATTTGCAGGAAAAATTGAATGTTTTTTCACCCGATTTTTTCAGAAAATTACATTCGCAATTTCAGCTACAGGATCTGAAAATTTCACCGAAGAATATTCATAAGTTTTCTACCAAATTTATATTCCATCGGGGGAAATTCGGCAACACCCTGATGTTCTTACGGCTTTTTGCCTTCTGGCAATTCTGCGATGCTAAGGAAAAACGCCGAATGGAAATCCGGCTGTTGCCAAATCCTGATAAAATATGTGTTTGTTTTTTAAAAGTCACGAATATTTTGTCTTGAAATTTTCTGATTTTCTTGCGAATGAAATCCCTTTAAAAATTGAAAGAAAACCATTCTCGAGTTTTCCTGCAACTTATGGTACAGTATTATCATAAGCAAATTAGACATGTCCGACGGCTCATGCTCGGTTCTGCCCAAGAACGGCAGTGAATGACTGATTGTGTGGTAGGCGAAGCGGCCCCCCGCGGCCGGGGTCTGGTCCGTCGGGGGTGCAGCGCGATGGTACCCGCGGGCGCGCGCCGAGGTTGGTCTCTTGGTGTGAGCCCAAAATTTTTTTGGCATGATCGATACACGTGGAGTTTGACGTGGAGCGGTTGCCAATCAATTAGCTTCGAATGTGGCATCCTCGTGTCTTCGGCCTCGCGGGACGTTTCCTCGCCCCCCTCCCCTCCCCACCACCACCGCCACCCCCCTCCCGACGGCGGAACTGGTGGAGCCGGCAACGCGGAATCCCCTAATTCAAGTTTGGAGCCGGGAGTACGTGAAACGTGAATGTTGCCTCAAGTCCGCGGCGTCGCCGCCGGACTTCCCGGTCGCCGTTCGCGAATGCGGCAGCGTATTTTACGCGGTGGCGACGACGCGGCAACGTGGGATCGGGAGTTGGGGCCGCCGGGACTTGCTCGTGCGCAGGGAGTCGCTCCGTCGATTTCGAGTTCGATCGCTCGCGATTGGCGATTATCTCGCGCCGTTCGGTTATGGAGGTGATACAGAGGGTGCCGACGAGTTTAAGAGCGCAATTTTACAAAATACCGCTTGTCTTACGAGAGCTGTGGCGAAGTTGGGTCATGTACGGCGCGTTGAAGGTCTGCGCCTTGCTGTATCTTTACTCTCATTGGTCGGCGTGTACTTCTACGTCATAACTGAGTGTATGAGTGCTGGCGGAGTTGGGTCGTGTACGGCGTGTAGCAGCGCCTGCGCCTTGCTGAAGCTTCACTCTCATTGGCTGGTGTGCGTTCCTACGTCACGACGGAGGGTAAGGGTCTCACTCTGTGGGCTCTCCATGTCGGTGGGCACTGCGCAGCACGGTCGACTTGTCTCGCACTCTCGCAGTCTCGCTCTCGCATTCGCTGGCGATTAACCCGTGCGGAATCAGCGAAGTTGTGGATGTCGAGCTTTTGTGGCTCCATGGCTGGTGCGTTTTCCTAGCTCGGTGTCGGGTCTCCGGAGGGTCCAAGTGTAATGTCTCCCCGTTGGCGGGGAATCGGGCCGTGGAAGGATCTGGCTCTCGGAGCCTCAGCGTGGCAGCGGCAACGGGCCCAGTGCGTTTCGATCTTCGGGGGCTCCGTGCAGGGGATCGGGAACCCGTGAAAGGTATGCGTGGCGTCGGGGTAAAGGCTCCGTTGCAAAGGCCCCTGGAACAAGATACCCCCGGGTCGGACTCGGGCAAGAATTTCAACTCGAAAGCGGAGCCGAAGGGCTGCTATGAGCTCAAGATGCCGCCCGCGCTCCCAGTGCCCGCTCTGAATATCGATTCGGACAACTACATGCTCACCGGGACGAGGCAACGATCCTTCAGCTTCACTCACGGCACCCACAAGTGCTCGGCTCCGGCCTCCCCGAGTCAGCACCATGTGAAGAAAAGCCCGCTCGACTTGGACATGTTCTGCGTGCGACAGACGGTCAATTCCATAGCCTCCGTCTACTCGAGTAGCGAGTACGCCAAACCCCCGACCTTATCAACAACCTCCAACCCCTTGAACATCCCTCAGTTCCCCAACTGTGCCCGCGTACTTAACTATCACTATCTACTATGCTCTTGCCAGTTATCGTGCTGTTGTATGTGTTATTCTCTGTGCCCGTCAGATTGCTTCGCCTGCCTCCACACCGTCTGCCTCAAGTATGCTCTCAACTACCCGTGCCAGAAGAACAAGGATATCCTCCCTCCGGTCACACACACAAAAGACACGGTGAGCCCCTTTTCTGTCACTTCCGTAGTTTTAAGTTCATCTGATTGTGAGCACTTTATCTCTTATCACTGCGTGGACACCGCTATCAGGATTTGGAGCACTCCATATGTAGGTCAACATGATCAGCTGCAGTTTGTGTAGACCGCAGGTTGTTGGCTCCTATGTGATGGGTTTACTACTTAGCTTGCTATTTGATGTACTTTGTCAATAAATTCCACCAGCTGAGTAGGAAATGGAGCTTCATATAGAAGCCAAGCTGCCACTGAGAATTCTGCTGAGCAGGCGTAAGTGTTGGCACCATTGCGCACACCTTAGTCCTCCAACTGGTGTAAATTCTGGAGTTTTATCAAAACTTCTACTCCAGTCTGACAGGTGAATTCCTTCAAAAGTCGGGAATCACTTGTGTTAATCCTGAGACAGCTATTGGAAATTTTGTAGGTTAGGTACTGCCATCAGAATAATATTCAACGGACAATTTTCTCACAGCAGGGACTGATAATACCAACTTGTGATGAACAAGTATTAGCTAACAAAAAATTTTCAATTCTACTGCTATGCCACAGCCTAAAACTCAGGTTTATCACTGTTTTTTTTTTCACCTGATCATTTTGCACCATACTCAATGAACAGGAGATTTTATGCTGAAGTACTTAAAGGAAGTGCTGTGAATACTCCATGGTAGACTGTAGCTGAAAGGAGACATCAAGTGCTCAGTTTAAGTACGAAGCTGTTTATGTTTTCTATTTATTTATCTCTCGCTGGATCGGTAAGCACAACCAATCGGCAGCCCAATCATTGAAACTATGTCAACACAAAAAGACTAGACACAGCCCTTTCTCAACCACGCAATACATCATATTTTGATGTCTAATCAGGCTGCTTTAAACTCCCACTGCTTAGCTCGAAGAGGCTCCTTTATCATACTCTATTTAGGACTGTAAATTAGCTGTGATAGAAATTACGGAGGCAACCATTAGCAGTCTGATTCAGGGGTGCTGAAAAGTGTGAAGTCAGCCAACACTTGAGCCAGGATAAGTACTGAACTCAAGAGTGGAAGAGGAATGTCTGATTTTCAACCTGATGGAACACAGCCTCATTGACATGTTTTGAGGAAGCTTGTTCACAACTCAAGCTATGCATATTAGCTCCCTATTTTCTTTAGAAGGAGCCAAGGCGAAATTAGAGAAATTCTCTTTCCAGCAATACAGAGAGCATTTTCCTCATTCCCCTAAGATGAAACTGCATCTCCAGGAAGTAAATATACAAAGGTGTACTGTAGAAATGACCAAAGCTTTACTGGCAGACCCAGTCAACTTACAATTAAGTAGAAGGAACAAATTATCAATGAGGTAAAAATTGAAGGTAGCAATGTCAAAAGTAAAATCACAACTTGAATCGTTATGACTAGAACCAAATTTTCAAATGACATAAATGCAGATGCTGCCTTTCTTCTGGTTTTAGTGCAAATGAAAACTTAGAAAATCTTGCGGTATCCACGAGAAATTCCTCCTTTATTTTGTTCTTTTATTTTTAACTTATTCAAACAAGGACGTGCTTTTAAATTCCTGCTGTTCTGCATTTGCTGAAACTCTTTTCTTTCTAATGGAGTTCGTTGTAGAATTTCACTGGCACTTGGAAAAATCATAGTTTTCTATTCAGATACTCCTGTGGATGGAGATGAATGGGAAAAAAGATAGTTCCAGTTTGTAATGAAAGAAATTTAGCTTACAAAGACATCAATTGGAAAAAAAATATTCATCCTGATGTTCAAATTTAATGTCGTTGAATGATTGAGTGCTGTACTGATACAGTCATTATTTTAATTGCATCCGAAATCACTGATAAATCACTTTCAATTAATTACAAACCACTTTAAAGCACACTTGATGTCTGTATTTGTAATTTCCTGAAGATTAATCATCTGATATGAATAGAATTCATTTTCTACATTCAAATCAATTTTTGTTGAGACGCAAAATTGTGACCATCGGTATTATTGACAAGGAAATTCTTGAGATGCTTGATATACTACCTTATCTCTGAACCTTTTTTAATTAGGTACTTTCACATCTAGTTTAAATCTAATGATAAATATAATTGAAGTTCAAATGTCAATCAACATTCTTTTAGGTTATAAGGAGTTGAATCTCAAATTTGAATTTTTTTTTTTTTTTAAAATTTCAACTTAGAGATGATAAGCGGATGTATTCACAATTCCTAATCGTGGATAAGTATTTCTAGGAGTTCTGTGGTGATGTTGGGGTGGCCCTAGGGTAGAAAAGGGTATTCCTATGATAGGTCTGGAAGAACTAGATTATACATTTCTATATGGATGTACCTGTTATGCTCAGCTGTATCTATTTTTCAAAGAAAAGCATAAAACGAATTTTTGTCATCGAGATTCATTATAAGCACTTAAGGGATCTCTTTTCTTCTTCATGATAGAATTTCAGAATTAAACTGTCCAGGTCTTAATTTGTTTATTTTCAAGACCAAGTCCCTTAGAAGTATGGTTCTATTGATTTTTCTCAACATTTAGCAAGTTGATGGCTAAAGTAAAGAAATGTGCAAATAAGAATATTTTAAAGTCTCTGAGTGATTATTTTTTTTTTTTAAGGGAAAAAACCGAAGTATCCCCTCGAATTTTCTGTGGATATTTTTTAATACATGGAAAAAAATCTGAAGGAAACTCTTGGTTAATTATTTTTCAAAAGAAGTGAAACATGAGTGGGAGGTTTGCAATGCTAAAATAAGAGCTGTTACTTCGGCTTACGCCATGAAATAGGGAGATGTGCCCTCAGAATCTTAAATGACTGCACAATACTTACTTAGTAGTACCAAGGTGGAGAAACGGTGCTGGTGGGTACACGCAATTTTGCGGGGAAATTAAAGCCAAGAAGTTCCAACAATTATAAGTAGAGTCAAAAGTAAATTTTTTTTTTACTCTAATGAGTACCAGTACAAAACTGAGGGGGGAGAGTGTTCAGCTAAGGCAGTTTGCATTGTAATATTAACACACATTGAACACTCTCTCCCCTCAGTTTTGTACTGTTTCTCATTTGATTTACAAATATACACCTTTTCTTGACTCTAATTATAATATTTGTAACTTCTTGGCTTTGATATCCCTCAAAACGGTGTGTACCCAGCATGTTTTCTCCACCTTGTTACGCACAGTATTCGGGCCACTTCATAGTGGTTTTTTTTCCCCCTCCTTAGCAGTACCTTGACTAAACAAGCGAAATTGGTCCTAAAGTCAGAAAAAAGACGAGAAAAGGTTTGGAATTTTTTTGTGAAATTTATTAGCACCCTGGAAAAATTCCTTTCCAGTGACTTATTTTTGTTGTATTCATTTTGCCCCAAATCCTGCAGGGTGGAAGAGGGTGATTAAAACAAGGAAAAACGGGTAAATTTCTGATAATTTGATGAATTATGAAAGATCATGATTACCATGAGACTATGATTATATCCATACTACGTATCCTGATAAACAATGCTCAAGCTCTTGTCTTGTAATTGTTCACTGCCAAAGATTAAAGAAACACCATTACTTTGAAATGTAACTCCCTGTCTTTTTTTTGATTTTACAAGAGCTCATAGATTCTTGCAAAGTGAAAGAAGAATCTGAAAGTGTGATATTGAGATCTCTCTGAATGCATTTATGTTTACAGCCTTTTTTTAAAATTTTTTTAATCTTACAAGTACTTTGTGTTTTTTTTGCAGCCCATCAGTGACTGGTCATGCTCAGATGTTGTCGAGTGGATGGCCGCAGTGAATCTCTATCGATATGCGGATGTTTTCCGGTTAAAAGACATCAAAGGCTCAGATCTACCTCATCTAGACAAAGAGAAACTCATGGTTCGTTTTTTTTTATATACATCATAACTGGTTACCAATTCCAGATTTTCTTTTTTCCACCTAACAGGAAAAATTATAAACGTGTCCAACAATTCAGACAGCAAAAAGATGAAAGAAACTGTCAGAGGGAGGTTAAAAAATCTTGTTTTTGACCATTTGGTAAATTTTCCAAAAATTCTACTGTGTCATCAATTCCATCTAACCCTCAAGCTCATGAAAAACTCTTTAAGTTCAGCATTTAGTGGCCGATGGATTTTAAATTGCACTGTGGTTGATCAGTTTTCTCCTCGCAGAGGTATGGCTGAACTCGTAAGCAAGGTTGTCACCTTGTGTGGAGGCGCCAAGTAACAAGTAAAAGAATTTTAGTGTGAAATAATGGCAAAGCTGTTTGTCTATACATTTTTGTAACTCTTCAGAGATCAATTTCTCAAGTTCTTGTGATAGGCATGATGTATCAGTCTTGAACAATTATAGTTTCAACTTACAGAACCATTAATGAACTTGAGAGTGGATTTGAAAAGAAAAAAAAAGAAAAAAATAAATAAAAAATAAAAAAAAAACCATTTGCTCCTCTGTGTTCCTCATATTATTTCAAGTTGCATTTTTTTATTGAATTTCAAGTCTCAGCAAGAATTCTATTTTGAACCATGTTTACTCTATTTTTATTAATAGTCATGCTCAGCAGCTCAGGATGTTTGAGAGCAGATAACCCATAAAAAAGGAATTTTTTTTCCCCCACTTGTTAAATGTTTTTTCTTGTTTGAAGTTTCACAGTAAAAAATTATTCAAAAACTGAAACTTCGAAAAGAGAAAGAGTGAAAATTTTGTTTGATTTTAAAAATATACATCAAAAGTATCTCCTGCCTGATAAGGTTAGGGTGTCCACTGTCAATAAAAACCGGAAAATATTTGGTAAAATCAGGACAATCGGTCATGGATCAAGAAATACCATGTTTGTCCCGCATTTTTCAACAACATGAAGTTTAGCGCATGCTGAAGTGAAACATTTGATTCAATTCATTGAATGTGTTGGTTTGTCAAGTCAAATGAGTGGCAATTAATTCTGATGAACAAACTTCATTTAAATTATCAGTTTAAATCAAGAAAACATCAGGTACATCCAACATGAAATTTTAGTATTTACCCTTCAGGTGTTTCAAGTGTTCAATGACTGCATTATTTGCTATAGAGTATCCTAATCTTATATTTATTTAGCAAAAACTTAATCATGTGGAAATAGTAGCTTTATTTTCACTAAGTACAAAACAGTTTTTACTCAGTATTTATTCCTTGCATTTCTTCCAGAATATGGGCATCAAAGAGGAATTCCATCAAATCGCCATTTTGGTTGCGATCGACGAACTGTGTCGGAAACCTGCGTACGACTCTAGCGACGATTCCTTCGTCGACCCAGCGAATCTCAGAGCCACTTGTGCCGATCATAGATTGATAAAACATAGCTTTACAAACTTGCAACGATGTGATAAATGCAATAAGTACATGCGCGGTCTCCTTNCCGTTGCTTTGAAAAGCTTTTGAGACCGCAACTAAAAACCCAAATAAGCCAAGTTCGTGTAACTATGGTGTCGTTGCCTCGACCGGGCTGTGCTGTGTTGCCAATTGTTGGAGGATAGGTTACTTGCCCGGTGGTGGCTACCGCCACTCATGATTCAGTTCAGATTTATTTATTTATTTTTTCAAAAACAAAAAGAGGAATTATCTATAAAAATTTCCTGGTTGGAAGACATTTCCCCTCATAATTCATCATAGTTACCTAATCTTCATCAGGGGTGTAGAAATGGATTGATCGTACAATCCGGATTGCACAGCCTTCAACTCAAGTGAATGGAAAGGTTGTGATAATTGGATAAGCCGGAGTATTTTTGCTCTAAAATCTCATGTTTTTAGGTTATTTTGGGATGGAATTTACACATCGAGCAAAATCGCTGTGTATTTTGCAAATTTCTTACCAAATGGCAGTGTAATTTGCATGCCTTTTTTTTTAAAATTTCCTGGCAATTGTCCCTGAAGATAAAAGAAAAGGATATGGCTTTGAAAATTTTGAGGATAAATAGACAATCAAAATGGGAAGGCTAGGAACTTTCATAGTTCTTTCTTTTCAATAAAGTATCCAATCAATTATAACATCAAAAGGAATGTCAGTCAGGAAGAAATCAGACTATGAAAATCGAATTTTTAGATTCTTTTGTGCCTTGCCAGAATAAAGGAAATGGAGTTTGGAAAAAGTTATAATACATTACATTTTTACTTGCCCAGAAAGTTATGCGACATCAAAGAGCCTGAAAATTTTAATTAGGCGCATAATTATTAAAGTAAGTTTTATTTTCCAATCTCGACAATTATTTCAGTAGGAGTGTGTTTAAACGACCTCTCGTGGTGCATGAATGATAATGGAACACATACTCAGTGAAACTTTTTTTGAAACTACGCTGTTGCAAGTGGTATGAAAACAAAGACATCTTAAGGCATAAGGAAATCCTTCCCTTGCTCTGTATACTTTATCTTCTTCTAAGTGCAGTGATGTCTCCTGTGTGTAGATTGTACTCCCCCCCCCCCCCCCCCCNATTTACTCATGGTCTTATCCTTGAATAACTCTTTTGTCTTTAGATTGTGGTTTAGTCGCACACAGGACTTGTGCTGCAACTGGTTTACCATCATGCCTCTCCTCTAGTTGCGACCGCCCATCTCGATATTTAGTGAAATCAGGTAAGACACCAAGTACCAATAAATGTTCTTTTTATTCAATTTTTCATGCTCTTAAATTTAACCCATTGACTTATGATTTAATTTGACCCTGCCGGGCCAGGAATTACGATTTAATTTGGCGAAAATTAGCAACTTTGAACACTTCAAAATAATCCAGAAATTATTTCTCAAAGGGTGAAAATTGACAAAATAAGCATTCTCAATACAACATTTGAGAAAAATGGTGTAAACTTTGAACACAATGATTTTTTTATGTGGTTTATAGCTGTCAAAATCGCAAAAATCGCAAAATCAGCGAAAATCAGAAAATTTTGAGGTTATTTCATGTGCAAACGCACAGTAATATGAAAATACCGTAACAAAACAAGAAATTACCATACACAATGAGTCATAGGGTGGCCACACTACTCATATAAACATTGATGAGAACGCAATCTACCGGAGAATTGCCGAAATAACGCAAACAATCAGCGTACGGCTCTGAGCCGTCATTTCAGAGCTGGCCCAGCGCTGCGATGACGGCTGGGAGCCGTCATTTTAAATCAATGGGTTAATATTATTGACGAGAATGAAGATCAACCCATGGTGGTTGAAAATTTAGATATTGTTATATTTGCAGGTCCCTCACTTAATATTATCCCTTCGTTAGTGATGAAAGTAAATACGGTGGTTTTACTGAATCAATTTTTTTCTTTTTGTAGTGTTTGGTCTAGGGCTTTGCGCTCAGTTCAATCCGGCTCAATCTGCAGCACCAAATTTAGTAATGATCTGTACGAAGCAACTGGAAACTTTTGCCAGGAACATGCCGACTCTCGATCTGTATAAAATGTACCAATCCTCAGCATCGTCTGAAAAATTGCTGGAACTCAGGAAAAAAATTAATGAAGGTGAGTGTTCTAGGTATCCTCAAGTCAATATTTCTCTTCTGCTAAGAATAATTCATAAACACCACTTCTTTGGTCATTGAATAAATATTCAGTAATTTTCGGCAGAAGAAATAGTATTTTTACAAGGATTAAAAACTGTTCCAAAGGTTCGAAATGTATGTCACTATCGATCAGTTTTCAAGAAAATAAATTTTTAAAATACCCAATGTAGAAATTGTAAGGTAAACTTTTTTTGACTCCCTATTTTCGACTTTTAGCATTCAAAATGAAGAGGTGATAACTTGGACTCGATAAATCTTCTTTGTTAGCCTGGGTATTCATGAAAGTGTTGAGATACATTTTTGAGCAATCACCAGATATTTATTTTTTCCCCAAATATTTTACTTCATTTCACAAGGCACAAAGACCTAAAGAAAAAATAGTATTACTATTGTTTGTATAATGATGGATAAATTTTGATTGTCTTTTATCCGATGATGACAATATTTTAATAAATCTTTTACAGAAAAAAGTGGGTACTAGAGTAATTGTAAGAAGTCTCTTTTTCCTCATGACCAAAAAAACTTCAGTTAAGTGGGAGCATGAAAAAAATATTAATACTTCTCAATAGAATGACCCATTTCCTACCAGGAAATATCAGTTCAGCATTTCTCAATCAATCAAACAAGACTGAAAGCCAATATTTTTTCAAGCCTCGTTCAAACATTATGTTTTCTCATTTTTTTTCTCTCTTGAATCTGTTTTCTAGATATGTCCAGTGTCGATTTTTCAACTTACGATGCCAACACCATCGCTAGTATTTTGAAGAAATTCCTACGGGAACTTCCTGATCCTGTGATACCTGTTCAGTGGTATGATAGATTTCTAGAAGCTTCAAGTAAGTGTCCTCATTTAATCTTAAAAAATATTTAAATCAGTGAGCTATCATAATGGATATAGATGTAAGATTAGGTTTTACAGATAAAACCACCTATAAATCTCGAAAAGCACATAAAGTAAGTCTGAAAGCCACTCCTTAACACACAGTACCCGTAATTTGTACCACGCATCTTCAAAATTCCTGTGTTCAGGAGCGTTTATATTCTTTGTTCCCCAGGAAAATTGTGTCGTCATCGTGGATCACAATTCTTATTTTTTTATGCCATTTTGAATTTGTGTAAAATTGGGACTCCCATGTGCCAAAAAATTCACAAATTAGATTTTAAACAATGCAAACTAGAAGTTCTCATTAAGCAGCATTTTATATTTGTAGTCAAGACTGATAATCGTGATCCATGTTGATGTCATTCCTCGAGATGGATTTTCAAAAACTCTCCATTTTGTTTGATTCCTTAGATTTTTTTTCTAGCTTTGAAGTAAAGTACTTTTAAAAATTCTGAAATTTGAAATTTTTATAAGTTTTTTTTTTTTTTCTTAAAAAAAAAATAAAAGTAGTAAATGAGGCCTGTAGACTCATTCTCGTTCTTTTTGAAGAATAAAAATGGAAAACCATCTTGTCTGTAGTTAGGAAAAAATGTATACAAGTTTTTGAAAATCCATGCAGTAAATCCTGAGAGAAGTGTACCTTAAGGGCCAAAAACTGTGTTTGGAGAAAAAATGTTTCAAGTTTTGAACACACTGAATGATTGCATCACTTTTTGCTTCACAAAACATTGCATATCTTATTCAATAATGACCAAATTTTGAAAAATTGGTCATCATTCACTTTGTCTTAAATTACAGCTGAGGACATTTAGTACATATTCTATTTCAAAATAAAATTCATTTTGATCAAAAATGTTTTGCGACTCTCCTTAACGGATCACCACTGAATGAACAAAGTTGAATAAGGGTTCATTCCACTCGTTTTTTCATTTATTTTAACAATATTTGGTGAAAAATTCCCATGCTTATGATGCATTCCTTGCAGCTTATTTCATATGAGAAAACTCAAATGATACTAATCCTTTTCTGTGCAGAAATCCGTAGCGATGAACAAAGCGGGATGTGTTTGTACCATATAGTGCAGGAACTACCTGTGCACCATAAGTCCCTGCTCTGCTTCCTAATGGCTCATTTCTGTCGGTTGTGCCAACTGAACCATGCGAGAGGAATCAAGGAACCACCCACCGTTTTAATCCAAGTTCTTTCTCATGTCCTTCTCAGGCCACCGTGGGAACGAATCATGTAAGCTTACATTGTAAACCCTATCCTCAACACATCGAAGTTCTAATCTTCCTTAACATGTTGATAACCAAGCCATCTATGCCTCCTTGCTTTTGTGCAAGGGGGTTCTTTGGGCGAGATTTAGCAACAAAAAAATTGTTTTTCTAATTTTTAGGCTCTTTTTAGCCGATTTCTTTCAGTGGTTGCTGAAAAGAATAATATGGCTGTCGTTCTATCTTATCTTGATCAAAAGTCCCCTTAAATTACTTCAAACCTGAGAGTTATCACTTTGAAGGCCTAATTTTCCCTATAATTTGTACTTTTTTTTCTATGTCTTAGCGATGGTTTTAAGTGTCATTTCAGCAAGAGACCTCTAACTTGATCCAAAATTACCAGAATTCTCTCAATCACAACTTATGGGAGGGCATTTCTGATGTATGGCCCAGTCATAGTTCTTTTTCATCTTTTAAAATAAAAAAATGAATTGTCGATTTTAAAAAATATAGTGAAAAAGAAAAAAAACCTACCCAAGAATCTTTTTTAAATTTTTCTTGTCAAACATTCAAATGCAAAGCAATGATGTCAATAAAGCACAAGATCCCAATATCTCTGATGTTCAAGTATATTTGCCTTGGGTCTTTTTGGAAAACGTTGAAGATGAAAAACACAGTCCCATCCACAATTCTCGCATATTTTAAATACTACCAATATCTAAATATTTAATGATAAATGAAGTCCCCAGTTGTGTCTTACAATTGATTCCACCAGTAGATGACTCATTTTGCCCGAGTTCAAGTGAATCTGTCCATCATAAATTTTCCAATTTTTTCTTGCCTTTTTGAAGGACGGGTATTTATTATCACTATTTTTTTCTATTCTCCTTCCAGCCAAATAGTGTACAATACAGAAACACACATGCGGATCATAGAAATGCTTCTATTCTACGGTGATTGGGGCGAAAAATTACCAGAGTTCGCCTCAGCTCCAGCCCTGCCTCCAAGAAAGGTCTCAAGGGCAGGTGCAAGCCCGTACAGTAGCGGTTACACTTCAAATACAGCGCAACAACTGTCTCAGCAAGAAGCCGAAGAGCGGGACTCTCCTCAGACGCTCCAAGATGCTGAGTGGTACTGGGGTGATATAACAAGGTAAGCAATTTTATTGATGCCGCGTAACAATATCTGAACTCAATTGCTGTTAAGTATCAGTCGTAAATTTCTTCAGTAAAGTAAATTCCATAGTTCCATTTTTAAATTGTTTAATCCCTTCACAGAAATAAAATCTAACTTTAAGTCAATAGATTTTCAACTTACAATATTTCCAGAAACCAATAATTCTTAGAAAGAGAAGAAGTAATTGAAAACCAAATTACATGTGTTCTGTCAACCTCCAGGATGATTCCTAGTGCGTTTTTTATTGTTAAACTTATCACTGACATAAATTGAACCTTTCAATTAAAGAAATACTCTAATGTCTTCTCTTTAACTCATGGTGTTTTGTGTGGTTTTTTTGCAGGGATGAAGTGAATGAAAAATTAATGGATACACCTGATGGAACATTCTTGGTCCGTAATGCATCCAGCAAAGGTGGAGAATACACGCTAACCCTCCGCAAAGACGGCACGAACAAATTGATCAAGATCTGTCATAGGAACGGAAAGTACGGTTTCTCGGAACCTTACAAATTCAACACAGTGATGGATTTAGTGAAACACTATCGCAACGTTTCACTAGCCCAGTACAATTCCACTTTAGATATTAAGCTACTGTATCCAGTCTCCAGGTTTCAGCAGGTGAGAGCAAGAAAATTACTCGTCTTTAATTTCTCTCTCCGACATGCAAAAGAACAGCACTTCTTGAAGCACAGTTCTTTATCAGTTCAGTTTTATCTCCACAGAAAGGTTAATGATGTAGAATCTGCAAAATCAATCAAACTTAAAATTACTCAAGATAATTTTTTTATATGTATCAAAAAAAGAAGAAAAGTAAAACATTTTAAAATAGGAACACGCTCCAAGATGGAAACAGTAACAAGTTGGAATCTAGCCTTAGAAGAGGATATATACGGCGTCTGGAAATGCATATGTAGTTATTAAAAATATTAGTCATGAACTTGAGTTTTTTAGTGAATTATAGTGTTAGTTGTGAGAAAATAGCGACTTTTGAACCTGCAATCCTCCATTGGGTAGATATCTCCCAAAATACGTGGTTTTAATATAAACCAACATTTCAATTTTAAAATCTTCAGTACCAAGTCTCTATCACTGTGGACGGTTGTATCAACACAAATTCTCTCTGAATGTTGACTTCTATCAACAGTACTCTTATCTCGTTAAAAGTTTGCTGTTACACCCATGGTTCATTTTTCGATCAATTAATACATTTTTTCTCTTCCTCAGGATGAAGAAATTGCCTGCTCGATGGACGTTGAAAACGTTGCGCTGAAACTGGTAGACATTGACAAGGAATTGCTGATCAAAACCAAAATGTTTGACAATCTCTCAGATGCTTTCATGATCACGAACAAAGAAATTCAGTTGAAACACCAAGCACTGGAAGCCTTTGCGGAAACGGTGGCGATGTTCAGGGAACAGGTGAAACTTCAGGAGATGCTCCAAAAAGAGGCGCAGCCGCATGAAGTGAAAAGGTAAGTTCACCAGTTTAGCGTTTTACCTACCTCAGCTCAAGAGGGGCTCGAAAGGTACGAATATGTTGTTGAAATAGGAAAATTTCATCTCGATGATTGAAGTTTTGTTCCATCGGTCGATTTTTCTCACAATTAAAATTATGTCAATGTAAGACAAAAGACTCAGACAACTACAACTTCACTAAGAAAAGAAATTTTTTAGGTGAATTCCATCATTGTTAGTAGAAATTGCCTGTGTAATAATGCAATTTGGAAGAGTGATCAGAAAAGTGCAGGAGTTCACTACTTTTTGGCGTTGAGAAACCCTGTGATAATAAGAAGTCAGTTCATCTATTTACTTTTGTGTTCATTTCAAATTTGAATGTCAAAACTGAATTGTTTTTTTGGACTGTAATATCTGTATAATAACTGATGTTATTTGAACTTTTTACAAATTCTCGTCATGTTACGTTTTTTTTTGTCAGTGAACAAAAGTTGCAAAATTGTTACAAGTAAATTTTTTTCGGAACTAATCTTGGAGTCAAAATTAAATAATCTTATTTTGTTTTTACTGCCATGTTTTTGCAGACGAATTTACACGGTACGGATGAACCCACAGGATGTGCAAGTAATGTTTGGTCTTACATCGTTCATCTCTCAATTCGATCATGTATTTTCATACTTATTTGACTTAATTGTTTTTGCTTTTCAGTTTGATAGTGAATTCTGATCTCTTAAAGAAACGCTTACTTCTTCTCGAGGAACACAAAGAGGATCTCGACGAAAACTTGAAGCAACAAGTCGCGTATAATAGAACGCTGGAGCGGGAAATCAATACCTTGAAGCCAGATGTAATTACACTGTTCCGGTTGAAGGAAAAGCATTTAGTGTAAGTATCCTTGTGCATTTAATTGACTTTAGTATGGATTGAAAGTAATTAATGTGTAAGAAAACATGTATTGTTATCTTAGAAACAGCGAACATCCGCATGCAAAATGAAAATGAAGAATGAAATTACCATTGAGTGAAATCCGAAGAGTAATTTTTGCAGCCCGGGAAGTAATAACAAAATTCAGATTTTTTTTTTTTTTAAAAACACTGGAACTGTCACCTAAGCTCTTTTCCTGAATGATTCGTGCAGTTTTGATCTATCATTAATTTATGAATTACAGGGTTGCCAGCGACCGGGAAAAGTCAGGGGAAAAAAATCAACCGGGAAAAGTCAGGGAAAGTCAGGGAATTTCGGTGTTGGTCAGGGATTTTTCTGATTTTTTGTGGAATTAGGCGCGGGCGGTCTTGGGCTCGCGTTGCGGGATCAACTGGATCAATTTCACTTTAACAGACTGCGTCAGATCCATACTTAAAAGTCAGGGAAAGTCAGGGAAAAGTCAGGGAATGGAAAAAAATAATTTGGCTGGCAACCCTGGAATTAATTTAATTTATTTCTGTATTCATTGTTTTGTATAATATGTGCATGTCAAGATTTAGTAATTTATCAAGTAAAAATCTGGAAACTTCCTAGTATTTCTACAGCTGAAAAGCAAGTGCTGACAAATTTTTGAATTGAAGTTTAAACCACTTCCTATTAGAGAAGAGCTACAAATTGTAATCCAAAATATTCCTTTTGTTTTTTTTTGTGACTGTTATATTGTCAAATACTTAAAGGGTAATCACTGAATTGTTGATGTTGTGCAGAATTTTTTAGGCAAAATAGCATTAAATATTTGTGAAGAGGTATAACATGTTTCATGCCGTGTCAATCTATCTTAATATATTTGATCAAGAAGAATGTTCGGACTTAGGGCCAGATGACTAACTTGACTGTGTCCAATTTCAGATGGTTGAAAAGCAGGGGTGTGAAACCGCAGCGAATTCAACAGCTCCTAGCGGGAGGACATATCGGGAACACGGGACGCTTCGAAGGAGGAGAGGCTGAAATACCTCACTATGACGAAGGAACGTGGCTCCTCAAAGATTGCTCCCGGACAGATGCTGAAAGGTTGCTCATGGGTAAAAAGGACGGTACCTTCCTCGTTCGGCCTAGTAGTCAGGGTGGCAACTATGCACTCTCTATCATGTAAGTTTTCAAAGTTCGCTCTTACTTTGTATTGTCGTCTAAGAAGTATCCTAGTTTGATGTTGCCACAACTGACGATGTTGAATTAATAAAAATAAAAAAAAAAAATAAGTTTGTTCCAGTGTAACCGGAATCTTTTTTTGCTGCAACTAATATCTTATACTGAGTTGAGATAAAAAAAAAACCACTTTCTCTAATCATCCGTTTTCTTGATGTTTGGGGCTCTAAGCACATTATGTAGGCACTCCAGAATTGAATTACTCTGTTGGATGATTTAGAATCGTCAGATTTTCATTCATTACCAACTTTTGCCATTAGAAGTAGCCTTGACTTTAAATTCATCTATCCCAAAAAATGTATATCCTGTCTCAAATTGACTGGATTAAATTAATCTCATCATGCTTGCAAGTTATGGAAATAATGTCTTTGCCATTGTTTCTCGGGTGCAAGTCAGGTATGACACTAGAATCTCAGTCATTTAAACTTTTTTTTATCACTTTATTTTTATTTAGGTAATTTAATTATCTTATCTGTGAGATAAAATTTTTATTCTAAGCAAACGAAATTCTAGCATGATAGTTCAATACATTGAAACTGAATGTTTTAAACAAAGTAATTGTACTGAAGGTATTAAGAACTCAACCCAAAGAAATTTAAACTACCGGCAGTTCAATTGTAGAAAGTCGTTGTGGACACTGCAGTCTAATCCACAACAGACACTCTACAGTACATAAAATACCTGAGCCCCTCATCTTGAATTGCTCTCCGATAATTATAGTAAAGCTATGGGAAATGGCAGAGTAGATTCTTAAATGCTCCATCGACTTGACAAAAAGTGTAAACCCAAGAAATTGGGAAGCGTACACTAAAAAAGAGATAGTTACTGATGGTAAAAATTTTTTTGCAACAGGTGCAATGGTACAGTGAACCACTGTATCATCTACGAGACAGAGCGAGGCTATGGCTTTGCGGAGCCTTACAACATCTACGAATCGCTGAAGGCGCTGGTCCTACACTATGCTCAGAACTCCCTGGAAGAACACAACGATCTTCTGAACACGACGTTGGCATATCCTCTGTTGGCGCCCTGTCACGGGACCGACATCATGCAAACCTCTAGTTATTTCAAGTACCATAATTTCAATCCCTCATGAATCCCTTAGGACGTTGTACACCCGACAACTACTAAGTGCAGTTAACAAATTAATTAATCTGTGATATAGATTGCATTATGAGGTGCTTTTTTTTCGCTCCCTTTACTTCCGAGTAGCTCCCCCCACACTCGTCTCATTCGGAATTAAAGCGATGTCGGATAAGATCTTGTATCATACGTAATTTTCAATGTGTTTTTATGTTGTTGTAAGCTTTCGTATACCATCCAATGGTATTGTTACTTTTCATGTGTTTTGTACATTTTTTTATATTATCTTTGTTGTATCCCTGTATAATTTTTTATATGTATACAAGCTCGTACATACAAAGAGAAACCGCAATTCTTACCTCCTGCTCCGCGAGAAACATTCTCTCTCAGGATCGGTTTTATATCCAATCGCAACAGAAATTAAATTATTTTCAAACTTGTCAAATCAATCAAAGACTATCAACTCAACTTTTACAAGATTTCGCTACCATCACCAACTAATGTAAGTATGTTTGAACAATCGAAGTGTTGGCTGCCCTGTCATATTTTTTCCCCTGCTATGGCGATTTTTGCCAGTTGGTAATACTGTTCTTTCCCATTCAAATCAGCTAATAATAATTGATTTCCGGTAAGGCAGGGTGCCCTCATAGATATCTATCGTTTTATATGCATTTAACTGGATGTAATTCGGTTTTGCCATCTTATAAGGATTGTTGTTGCCCCTAAAGTAATTGCCCTCGAGTTTTAAACTCTCCGTTTCGTAGTAAATTGCCAAAGTAATAACCTTAAGTCTCTTTAGAGAACAATTTTCGGTACCACTCGCCCTCCAAAATTCTGAAAGTTTAACGCTAATGTGCAGAGCAGCAAACACGTTAAACCAGCATGTGAATGAGTCGTCGATATCAACTTTATTTTTAAGTAACTGTTCAAAGCAGTCAATTTCAAAATATTTTGTGCTGTTGTTTTTAAGGGAACTAACATCTCTCTAAGTGATTGGAATGCATGTCTCTAAGAATTTTGTTTCAGTTGTTATATTTTATAAGTTTACTACGTCTCAAGTTTCCAGCAGGCCCTTTTTCACTGCTCGTCGCACCAATCAGACTGCACTACCACAGAAATTAGTATCGGTGACTACTGTTCAACCAGGGTGTCTATCTGGCAGGTAGAATTGAAAAAATTTCAACGCTGAATGTCGAGGAATTTTGTTCGGTCAATTTTTCTCTTTTCTTATGAATCACTACTATGTTTAAGAAAGTTACATCATCAAGAAAGAATTTTAATATCTAGTAGTCAATTTTAGAATGAACGGTAGAATTAGTTCCTATTTTAAAATATGTGTTGGTAGATTTGTGTCCAAAAAAATCAGAAAATTTGGCTGGGGAAAGATTCTTGACGTGTGTAGACACCCTGTAAACTTGTCATTCAACTAAATTTCTTGGCCTGCATTCTTAGTTGCTTTGGTTCAGAGCCTGTAGCAGGTTAGGTTAGGTTTTTATCTCTTCATTTTGGCAGGATAGTTTTGTGCCGATGCAAAACCAATTTTGTCACTGAATCTGATGTATATTTTGCCCTTGAGGTTGAAGGTAGGATTAATTTGAAGCTGAGAATCCAGCCTTTTGCTTCGATTTTGACATTAAATTCTGCTGCAATCTGTATTTAATGTAAATCACTCAACATCAGCTTGCAATAATTAATTTTACTCTTTCGTCAATCATTTTTACAGTAATTTTTCATTCGATTGCAGTGAATCATAATTATCAGAACTATGAGACAAAATCACAACTGATCTGGTAAATCAGGCTTTGTGCTAATATTTTTCCTAAACTAATTGATAAAAATTCGTTTTAGGCCTTGTGTTGTATCCAATTTTCCATAAGATATTATGATCAAATTATTTTAAAAGTAAAATTCAATCTATTCTGCATCTTCTGTAGCTATGGTTGTCCAACTCAAGCAGGTCTTCGCCATGAGGAAACAACGAGATCTACGTCAGATCAGGAATACTTACATTTCCAATCTGCTTTTCAATGAAAATCAAGTGCTATTTCTCATTTTCTATCAGAAATGTATGAATTAAAAATGTCGGTCAGAAGATGATGCTCATAGAACCTTGTCTCGTACTTATAGGGGCTAACTGATGAAAAGAATAATCAATTGTATGTTTTTCATTTTAGCCACTAATGATTTCGAATATTTAATAGTGGGCTGTAAAAACTAAATTTTTTTCTTTGCATGAGAAAAGATGGCAAGCCACTCATTGCTACTAGAGCACAGCTATTCATTAGAAAGGAAACTTGATTGTCAGGGCCACACAAGAAAATCTATGACTATCTATAACATATCATCATTGTCTAATTGTTGGTAGCAATTGGGCTTGCCTGCACTAAACAAGTATTTCTACTTTTGATTGTTTTTGTAGATCAACTTCTTTGTAAATGCATCTAATTGAATGTGTCATTTTATAACTAACGAAAGAGCCACCTTCAAATATTAATCAAAAGAGGTATGGAGATAGTAGATTATTCCATCTGTTTGTAATTCGTGCATTCCGTCCAGCATAAAGCTAAAGTTATGTTTTCTGGTTGCAGCCTCCCTGCCTACCTGTCAAACTTCATTTCTTTAATTGAAAAACCAATCAACACAATTTCTTACAAATTTCTGTAACATTTGTTTTTAACAAAGTTTTTCTCAGAACTCTTATTGAAAATTTCAAGCTTTAAAATAGACTTGTTCCCAAAGAAAAATCGAAAGATGAGAAGACTTTTCCAACTCCAAGTTAAGCCATCAGCAAGTTTTTACCAGAGAATTATATTTATTTGCAGCCGGAAGATTAATATGAGAGTTAGACCGTTCTATTTATCTTCCGTTACTTTGAGTCAGGAAGTGGTGTCTACGTTTGTCAGAAAAAAACACATTTAATGTAATACATGGTGATCCTGATCATGGATATCTATCTTAAGAGCGTAATATTGATTTTTCCATCAGTTGCACTGTCCTCTCGGCACAATTTTAAGACAGAAGTGAGCCAAGGAATTACGTTTGGCGACTGGCCCTTGCTTTATTTTCCATTCTTCTTGTGTTTGCTGGTTTACGAACATACCTGAGCCTGATTTGCCTTGAATCTAGTGTTCCTACAATTATCTATTATCGATGAACAATCGTGAGGGAAAAATGATTTAGTATTTAAGGAACCTGCCACTTTGAATCGCTAGATCTTGATGTTTAGAGCTATATATCTATTTACCTTTAAATTTTTATAGACACGATAAGCAGCTTAAGTTAATATTTTCACCTGCATTCATTTTCCCAACTTGCCTGAAACCTTCGCCAGCGAAGCAACCCCTCCTCAGTTCGAAATATTTTTAACTCTCTCAGCCGATTGACTCTTACTTGTTTGAGCACAGTGGGGGAACATTTTCTTCTCCTTGTGAAAGCATAATATTGTTTAACAGTAATAAAATAGTGTAAGCGTACATAGTCATCAGTACAATGTAATGTCAACATTGAAGACTATTCAACCAACTGCTCAAAAAAATGGTGTTGACCACCTCAAAATTTCAGGGACCTAAAACGCCTGCAGGGCCGTGTATTTGGTGTGCAGCTTTTGCATGATAGTTCTGTGCTAAGGAATGGCCAAAGTGGGAACAGATTAGTTCCAATTTTTGATCCAGAACGTTGAACGTTCAAGGTGAGGATCGATCTGATGGAATTTTGCGTACACTCAGATTAATTATGATGGGCACTGCCGAAGTGCTTGTTGAACGTGGAAGTAATGTTTTTAAACGTCATAATGACCAACCATGGACAGTTGGGATGTATTTTGGTTTGATAAGTCTTCATATAGCTTCTCTGTTATTTCATCAAACACCTTTGGTTTTCATGAGAATTTGTAATAGTGTTGCCATGTATCACAATTCCTTAATTGAATGTAATTACGCCAAATTGATCTGTCCAGACGCAGAATTTCGAAAACTAGCCATGGTCCATTCTAAGTCTTTGGTCCATGTGTTGTTTTCCCGGTAATGACCATAACATACTCTCACCTCAGCCCTCTAATCGACCAATTTTATGATACCATCGGTAAAGAATAGTAACTGTTTCTTTATTCTTTTATTTTCTACCCGGAACTAAGTCATGTATCTATTCCTTTACTAAAGCAAGGCTCATGTTAAGTTATTTTGCTTCAAGTACGAATCGTCAACCATGAAAATCTCTGTTCCCAACCATTTTGGATTGAAGATGAGGGAAAATGACCTCAAGCCACTTTATCGATGCATGTGGATTCCCTGCAGCGTTCAAACTCTTTTAGGAATAATCTGTTTAATCATCACACAAATTGTGCTGTTCGCAAGCGATAACTCCAAGTTGGTCGAAAGAGAATTCTCTCACAATTTCGAATATGCTGAATCTGGTGTACATTGGCCTTAACCAATCAGACGTAGTCACTTAGTTTGTATCGATCAGCTGATTATCTCAAGGAAATTTCGGTCGGGAGACTTTGCTCTCGATATTGTCAAAATATTTTTGGAAATTACTTATTTTTTGTTCTTTTCAATGTTCATTGTTAGAGACATTATCATGCTATTCGATTGTAGCACAAACTTTATTTTGTTGATGTTTTGGTTATTTTTATAAAATAAATTGATTATTTGCTAATACTCAAAATAATTTTTGGCTTCCCACAGAAACACCCCTAACTAGTGAGACTTACTCAGCTTAATAGCAGTTTGCGTATTTAGCAGTAGCAGTAGCAGTATTTTTTATGTTCAGAATTCTTTTATAATCCACAGACTCTCCATCAGAAAGTGGAGTAAAACTAGGTTTTTTTTTCCGACAACGCCAGACGGATGAAAAATATTTGTTTGACTATTCTTAATGGTGGAACAGGATAAGACAAGTACTTTAATGGCAACAGAATGAGAGTCAAGGTTAATAAAATAACCGTTGCTTTCATCAACTAAAAAATGACGTTAACATGAAATAAAGATAACAGTTTATTGACAGTAGGAAACTATTTTAAGCTAAACAAAATGACAAAAATTTTATAAAAAATATTGGGTCTCGTAATTATTAAACTAGGGTCTAGTACATAGAAACTAGCTGCGACTCTGCCAAATGGCTGCCTCAAGGGTCTAAAATACAATTCACACCTACCCAAATTTAATGATGGCACATCATACAAAATATACACTACCTACTTGGTTCAGCCAATTCAATGTTGAAAAATACATAATTTTTAAAAATTAATAAAAACTACAGGAAATCTCAAATTAATTTTTCGATGATGCGACTATAAAACAATGTTCTTGGAGATAAGGGTAGTTCTTTTAACTGATAAAAATAGGGCAGCATCCTCCTTATCCCGAACACAAATGCCAGAATTTTAATTCAGATGTCTTCATTCTACGACAAAAAGCTGGGCTTGGCGGAATAGTGACATACATTTCGACATCAGAACCTTATCTAAAAATTATAAAGCATGAAAAAGTACCAAATTTTCTAGTACTAAACATTCCATTACTCGAGGAAATGTTTGCCCTGAAAAAGAGTCTAACTCTTAGAATGGTATTTTACAGTAGTGACTTCTTTGCAATCTTGTATTCTTCTTGATAGTCTCTTTTCTCCACAAAAATTTGTTATGCCAATGAAGAAAAATTGAGCGAAATCAATTCAAGGGTTAGTACAAATTCATTTGAACGAGACAAGAATCTTCTCTCCCTAGCGCAAAAAACTCAGTTAAAATATTCAATCCACTCAGGGAAATTTTCACATTCACACGTTGTACAATGGTTGTGCAGCAAATTATTATTTCTTTCTTTTAGACCGATGTGGTCTATGCACTTGATTTTTGATGCGTATCCATAGACTATTATAAAACGGTGGGGAGACTTCGATGGGAGGGTAGGGATTGGTGCGGTCCTTGAAGTAGTCAGACGGAGCGTTCATCACGAACGTCATGAAATCCAACTTCCTCAGCAAATCTTCATCTGGACCTGAGACAAATAATATTCAAAATATAGGATGTTATAGTATATACAAGTGCAAGCAGCACATTATTCAATTTGTGAGTATCCACGAGTGAACCTTGGTTCTGAATAACTCTAAATGGAGATGCTTTTTAGACTGCTTAAAGGAATGTTGTTTCGTAGATCTTTGGCGTAGAAAATGCCCAAAAAAATTGCTTTGGGCCACTGGAGTTCCTTTTCCTATTAACAGTAACAAACAATAATTTATGACAGGAAATATAAAATCCCAAAAAACAATTTTTATCAGACATTGTTGAATGATTTTCCAAAAATGTTTTTTAGTTTCATTTCTCATCGTTCATGCAGGCTTGAAAGAGAATTAGAACATTTTCAAGTGCTATCCTTCTTTTCAAAATTTTTAAGTATGTAAGTTGGTCCCATCGTCAGCATAATGCAGCCTCCTATTTTCCTGCTTCTAAGCTTGGAGAAGTCGTAATGAGCGGCCTTAAGTTTGAGCAGGCAAACTATTCCCATTTAGTGAGTAAATTATCCTTTAAAGCCTTAGCAAAGTAGGGTTAATAGGCGGTGACCAGATGACCTCTTCAAGCTTGGAAGCAGAAAATCAAGAGGCTGAGCAGATAACAGGACAAACTAAAATTCTGAAATGCATCCACAGTTATTTTCTTGATTGGTCATACATAGTGTTGCATTAAATAGCATATCTCTTTGAGGGAATTGGTGTTCAAATGAACTTATTCCTACTACTGTTAACTTCTTCTAAATCAAACGCTCTTTAAGTGGAATATACCTTCAAGTCAAACTTTTGTAAGGTCCCGTCGAATTTTTCATAGGAACAAAAAGCCCTTAAGCGGAATTTCGCTCTAAGTAGAACTAACAATCTGATCTCTATGCAGTTTGAGTCAAAAGAAGTTGACTGTATAATGATAATTTTAGTTTCATACTGATAGTGGGTTTCAAATCACCAACTCTGTCTGAAAACTTATTCATCAAGCAGCAATCTCTTTGTAGCAAAAGCTATGCTCATTTAATCTCATTAAAATAAACTTTCGTTTTTTTAAAAAAAAAAAAATACAGTGTTGTTTAGAACTCCAAGAGTAGAATTAATAATGAGAAAACATAAAAAATGTCATGTTTAATAAGATCATCAATCAAAAATTGAATTATCACATTTAGACAAATTAAGCAATAAGTTTTTAAAAATCTATTCAGCATTCACTGAAAGAAAACATTAAACATGATTTGTACATCGATGGCCATAGAGCGATACTATATACATTTGTTAGCGGTGTTGTAGACTTCCTTTCAAACTATATTTTTTCTTCGGAAAACTCACAAATTAATTCCTTGAAAACTTTCCTGATTTTTCTTCTCTGTTGATAGAACATTCGGTAAATACATTTCAAGTTATGTTGTTGACTTGTTACTCTTCAAAAAAGTAAAATAAGAGCGGAAATTTTGGAACGCAATGGAGGCATAAGTTCAGCACTTCGGTCATCAATATCTTACATCAGAAAGACAGAGGAGCATCTACGTAATAAAAGAGGCACAAGTTCATACCTAGGGTGAAAGTTGACGGATCAAATACGGTTGAATCTAAATCTGTATTTGTTGTAGGGATGAGCCAACTGAGAGCAGCACTTTTCTCACAATACTGATCAACTGCCAGGCCCCTTATTTGGGCGAAATACCGGCATCCGTCTTCTGCGTCTCTTACAGATACAATGTCTCCAACTGAGTACAAAACACCCTAAAATGAGAATAATTAAAAAAAAATGTGAACAAAATGTAAAGCACATGATGGAAGTTCTGAAAAAGTGACTCAACTCATATAAATTACACCATATTTAGCAGCAGAATTCCCTTTCAGATAGGCTGAGCTGTTAGAAACCATACGCAGGGAAATACATACTTCGACATCTCTTTTTAGAAACATGGGAATTAAATCAAATGTAACTAAGAAACTGATGCACAAAATTTTGGATGAAACTTGTTGAAGAAAAATAAAATTTTGAAACAAATAGGGACCGTCAGAGTGACTGCTCCGAGTTACTACAGTTTTTGAGAGTCAATAATAAGGAGGCACCTCATGTCATTTCTAATTATGTATGGTTACAGGATATTTAATTTCTTGTAACTCTTCAAAATTTCATGTTCAAATTTAGAAATCATACCTGTTGCTGGACAATAGTCTGCTATCTCATCAAGGAATTTGACTTTTTGTGAATGTCAGTGATACTTACCTCTATCAAGTTAAAAATTTAATCGACTGAAGTAATCTATATAATTTTATGAACTTACTTTATTGTACACACTTTGCCGAAGCGTTACTCCTGCTTGTTCTTGAGGTGCTTTCAGAGGCCGGATTGATTTGAATTGATCAGGCTAGTTAAAAAAGAAAGAAAATAAAAAAGCTTAAGATAAATTTTGTTTTTTTAAAAAAACAGAAATGAAATGGACATATACTATAATCAGTTAGTAACAAGGTGGAGAAATGGTGCTGGGTCCACACCCTATCTTAAATCTATATTTAATTTAGGGATTTCCATTTCCTACCTTGAGTTCAGACCCACTTAAACTTATATAGAAGCCAATCATAGACTTTTCCCCTTCAGCAATAGAAACCACATTTATTAGGCTCCACATAAACCAATAATTAGAACAACCACTTTAATTAGAACTTGCGTCCAATTAAGTTGGCAGTGTCTAATTTTGACAGTCACGCGCAGATTAAGATTCAGCCATGTCCCATCAGAGGAAGATTTTGGTGTAAGGTATCAGCGCACAACTGTAGCGCAGCCAAAGACATAAAGACAGAGCAACTAGAAGAAAAAAATGAGGCCACCTCTCCAATTGGTGAGAGAATTGGCGGCGAAATCAGGAAAAGTTTGAAATTCAAATATAGGGCAGGAACAGAGTAAAATTGCGTAATCAAATTATTCTACATTGATTCTTCATTAAATTCACTTACCCGCATATTTTTTTTAAATAGAAATTATTTATGGTCCATCATCGACCGATTGATCTCATTTGGGCGTAATGATCATCTGGGACTGTAACGGCCTGTTTGAACCAGCGGGACCACAATGAGCGACAGAAAAATTAACTGTATGTAAGATCCTCACTTGTTACCGAGTTGAAGTAGGTTTATTATAACAATTCACCCTTCTGACTTTATTAATTTGCTTGCCATGGCCATTTAAGACGAGTTCAGAGCAAAACATGTGCAAAAATTAAGAGGACAAGTTCAACTCAAATTTCCATTTGCCTCATGGGTTTCCGCGCTCATTTACACACTCACACAAAAAAAGAGCCCCAGGCCTGGCCTCACTTCTCCCCCGTGTTATTAGATACGAGTGCTCCATCTTCATGTCTTTGAGCGCAGCATCGTCATCACACTTAGTAAGTCCTCAATTGCTTTTGGATGACGGCAACACAGTCGCTTGCAGATGGAAAGTATACAACTTCCACTTTATCTGATGCATGCTCAAACTGTATGCATATTTGGTTGTAACTAGCTTAAAAAGTAGTAGGAAAGTAAACAATCAGCTTACCAGAAAGAAAAATAAATTGATTGATAACAGTAATACAAAAATACCTTTGCTTTAATAAGAGAACGCCTTCCTTTCTCATCCGTCTTAGTTTTAACAGGAGTTTTGGTTGCACACCTTAGGCTTCTTCGCACAGGGGCAGAGGGAGCAGCGAAGACTCTAGAGTCATCTTGCCTTCTCTTCTTACGTTTGATAGAAGACATACTGAAGATGAAAAATCATTCCATGATATGTTCTAGATCAACAATGAATGCTTCTGTGATAAACTGATACACCAATACGCCTGAAGTTAGGAGGGTAAGAAAAATGGCAAAGAACGATTCGGTTTCGGTACTGAAAACACTGAAGTGAAATATTATGAAGGTAGGTTATGTTTATGTTTACTAATAGCGGCAACACAGCGCAGCGTCATCTGTTTGTAAACTGCTCAAGCTGTACTTCGTTTATATCCCTAGAGAGTGCGTTACTCTGTTACTCCTACCTAAAGACATTATACATGATTCTTGTTTCGTAACAACAATTGCTGTATTGCGGATTGAAGGCGAATTGAAATTAACTGAATTACTGTGGGGTAGAGACAGTAATTTGTTCCTTGCGGGTTCTTGCCTTAACTTGACAATACTTACTGTTTCTTGTGGACTTCTGTTTCTAACCCTCTATAATCAACAAATAAGCGATTATTTACGAGTTTTTACCGACGCAAAGTATGTCGTGTTTCGTGTAGTAAACTCAAGGTCAGATGGCAGTGGTGGCTCATATTGGCAGCACAGCAGCACTGTTCAGCATTACTGCTTCAGCTGCTTCAGCTGTCAGATGTTATTGTTGTGAATTTCTTATCAACCACAACCACAATCAGTCGAGGAGAATTATGGAAAAGTATCTCTTTAATTTACACCTCCCTCGTTGTTCATTATTTTAAGACCCTAAACAAGTGACTATTTTTTTTTTATTGTTTTGTATATTTTCACTCGTCAATCAGTGCTGTGATTTCTTCTCTCCATTCTTTGTTCCAGCAGTGTGTAGGTTAAAGGTTAAAATTCAACAAAGAGATAATGATTGAGAATATATGATTATTTCTGCATTCAAATCCTCAAGGAATCTCTACTTCCCCTTTTCTCACGGCAATTGATAAAAATAATCAGTAAGTATATTCATCAAGTTTTTTACGTCCAACTTGCTCTCGCACGAAGTCGCATCAACTCTCTTTCTGACACATCGACGGCGTAAGTTGCCAATCACATATCTCGTTTGCGGTGTCTAAAAATCTCCCCCTTTATGTTATTTTTTTAAAGGAGAACAAATTGACATCATTCCTTGAAATTTATGCAGAATTTTCTTCGCAAAGAGAAGAAAAATCACGGTAGTTTCAAAGAATTACCATAGAGTGGATTTCTGTTTTGAAAATGGAATGTGACAGGAAGTCTGCGACGCCCCAAACCGAGTTATGTGATTGCCAACTTACACTGTCAACATGTAATCGACACTCATCCACTCACGTAAATATAAATGTACGGAACCTTAGACGCCAATGAATCTACCTGATTCTTTTGCGTGGAGATGGCACCATAGCGGTGGAGAGACGCTGCGGAAAATGCCAATGAAGGATGCTCCGATCTGTTGCCAACAAATCGGAACGGAGACACCGACAAATTCTGCTGCCTTGCCTACCGATTTTCGACCGTGTTTAGTTTTGCGTTCAATCAACAGACCTGTGAATCAATCTATAAAAGCCGTGACTCGATCGACAAACCTGTGAATCGATTGACAAACCTGTGGATTGATCAATAAAGCCATGAGTCGATTGACTAAAGCCGTGAATCAATCAAAACAGCCATGAGTTTATCAAATCACGTCGATCAGTTCACGTTTTGGTTTTTCGATTGATTCATATCAATTGAGTTGATACTGTTTTTTTTTTTAAAATTTAATTGTCGGTTGATTCATGTTGATCGAAACGACACTGGTTTTTCGTTAATTTGTCCATTGAATCGGTGTGGATTGATTCCGTTTTCATTTTTCGGTCAATGCTTGTCGATCAAATCCGTACTCTCCTGATAAAAGTGCGTCCAATCATTTTAGTGTCTCAGAACATACTGGTCCGATCAATGAAAATTCGAGATATTGACAGTGCAGTGGAAAAAATCCACGAATTCCGCTTATTAGGTGCTGTGCTTCAAAATGTGAGCGTCTTCTTGCCCCCGACCCGGTAGTAGCGTTCTTCGCCAGCGTCCAGACGCCGAGGAATGACGCGCCTTAGGTTTCATACCTTAAACTCTGGCATCATTCTAACTCAGACATATTCCTGCTCACCTTTCAATGGTCCTTCAATGGGATTTGAGACATTACAATCAGAGCTCGCCTATTTTTTTACTTATCATCAAAATGTGAGCGTCTTCTTGCCCCCGACCCGGTAGTAGCGTTCTTCGCCAGCGTCCAGACGCCGAGGAATGACGCGCCTTAGGTTTCATACCTTAAACTCTGGCATCATTCTAACTCAGACATATTCCTGCTCACCTTTCAATGGTCCTTCAATGGGATTTGAGACATTACAATCAGAGCTCGCCTATTTTTTTACTTATCATACAGACCACGGTCTAAGCCAAAGAAGCTTACGCCTTTTTAGACTGGGACAGAAGATTTGCCATCTTGCTTCTTGTATTCACTTTACAGGTTTAAATGATGTCAGGCAATCTTATGTCGCATTCTAGAAATGCGTAAACTTATTTGGCGAGGACCTTAACTAGTTGTGGTTCAATCAGGACCTCAAACATCAGATGGCTGAGCGATGCAGAAAGAAGATGCTCTTGGTGCCTGTGGACATCATATCTGAGTTTTGGGAGGTGGCCCTAAATTTTTGAAAGATCAGAGTGTAAAACATGCAGGAGCAGGAAAGGAAGTAAGTGGATGGTGCTGGGCGTAGCAGTTCTGAGAGAAATGAAAACCTTGAATCACATTATATTACAATCAGGTCCAGAAAGTAATAATTAAGCTGTCAGCTAGGTCTCAGTTAACTTGACCTAAAATGCGATAATAATTAAATCATTTGTTAGAACCTACTTAGATGTGTTTTGCCAAAAAGAGCAATGAAATTCAACACTTAAGTAAAATCTCTGTATCAATAAAGTGGCAACAGTACAGTCTAAGGAGGCTAATTAAAAACATTCTCTGAGGGAGATGAAGGATTCAAAATTGTCCCCGAGAATTTCACTGAGTATTGATAAAAATGTCAAACGCTTTTATGCTTTTTTTTTTCAGAACAATGACGTCTTTATTTCGCAGTATCATGAATACGAAAAATCAAAGCCATGCGGTAAAAAAGTCAATAATAGCGCAGGTTTCAATTAGCATCAAAGAGATCCAATTGGAGTATGCAGAAAGTGACACATCACTCGTCGCCAGCAATGTGACTGATGGACTTTGCACCGCTCTGGAAGCGATATTTATTCATGGCATGAAAGAAACATTTTTCAACAAAATGTCATTTGCATTATCAAACGATTTGGATTCTTTACCTCAGCCGAATTTCTGGCCAGCGCTTCTAGTCTACTCCCACCGAGAAGTTATCGATCAGGTAGCCCATTATGCTTTTTGTAAGTTATCTCTGAGGCACAGAGTGCGTTGTAGGAGCAACTTTTATGTATGTATCTCTGAGGGACTTGGACTTGTATTTAATTTTTATGAGAAACAGAGGGGTTCAAGCGGGGAGTTGTGGAGTAGTCTTAAAAACAAAGATCTCATTTTAACCATTTTGTGCTGGATTTAAGGGGGGGGGATGATCCATGGTCCATGGCATCAAAGTGTTGGGGGTGGCGAACTGTAGAGACACAGGGGCAGATTTTAAAATAGTGATTACCGTATATTTGCCTTTCAAGTTTTTAAAAGGTCAAGGCTCAAGTTCAAGGCTTCAAAAAGATCATCCTTTGGCATCCAGAGGTGCCAAAAATAGTGAGTCCATTCTTGTAACCATCGCGCGTTGAATTCTTTTCAATACTGATTTCATATAATAAAGAGAAAAAGTTGCTTTAAGCGGAATATTCCCTGAAAATATGCTTTTTTGTGCAAAGTTAGCTCCGACCAATCAGAAAGGCGACTGCAAAATCATTTTGGGGTTAGCTGGACCCATTATCACCGCAGAGCAGCCTCCCGATTGGTCGTAAGTTTTGTTTCAAGAAACAGTACATCTTGGAGGGAAAATTTTACTCAAGTGAACTTTTCGCCTCTATCTTGAAATCAGTGCTTACTTTCATTTTTCAACCCCATTTTTAAATTTCCCTAAATATTTCATTTTTTTTTTTTTTACTACTTCAAGTAGCCCACAAGGGCTAATCCTGCGCTTTAAGTCCCATCCTCCCTCCGTCCCTACCGAACCAGTCCCTGGCAACCATTGTTTGCGACCATCAAACTCGGGTCGCCTGACTGGGAATTGAACCGGGGACCTCCTTATCATAGAGCTAGCGCTACAACCACTACACCATAGGAGGCGGACCTGACCATGTGATGGCTGGATTGTTCACTTTTCAACTTAATCTCCAACTTTTTTTTATCTACCAGCCGTCATCCATTATTTTAATGACAAGACTTGCAATTGATAGTTACATCGATTACAGCCAGCCAATCATGCAGAGACTTGTTGTCTCACCATCTGCGATGTCATCAAGTCTATATAAGCGTGGGCTCCCTGTTTCCCGTGGTCCTTCCACCCCTGACCCAAGAATGCATCACTCAGCCTCCCCCTCCCTCAGGCTATTTTAAAATTTGATTGTGAATTTTTTTGTAATTTGTAAAAAATTTTCATACAACTCCGTTCTTTTGGCTCCGTCAATCTCTTGTCCTCATTCAGCTCTCCCACACTCAAGCTCTCCCACTTATTAGTAATTTTTTTTTTATGTTTATTCATTTATTTATCTATCCATTTATTTATTCATTTATCTATCGTTTTATTTATCCATTTATTGTTTTATCTACCTATCTATTTATTTATTTATTTATTTATTTATTTATCCAAGCAGACTCTTACTAATATCATGGTACCTCAACTTCGGTTCTTTACTTGTGACACTTGAGAAAATCAGTTTCATAAATATTAACCTGTCTCTTACAGCTTAGAATATGCTCTTTTAAATATTTAACAAGCAAAATTGAACTTACTGCATGTTTGTTTCCCCATCAAAATTTCATACAGAATATGGTGAAAATATTGACAATTTTCAAGCTCAATCAATCAACACAGTTTGCAGTAAATTCAGTCAATCTTAACCCTGAACTTGACCTTGCTGAGGCCAAATTTGCCATTGGCAATGAATTCTAACATTCAGCAAATTACCTGAGTAGGAGTAGGGTTTTACTCTCAAAACTATCAACACCCTTGTCCATTGATCATCTCAACTTTTTTTAATCTTACCCGACCATCGCCAACCTCTGAGCATTGTTAATGAATGACAGTTCAGTTAATCAAGCAGTCTTGTTAATCAAGCGTGCCTCAAACTTCTATGACCCTCTTAACAGCATCTCTTCATTGCTTTTGTTTTTTAGATCAACAAGCTGAGTCAAGTTAAAACGGATATTGGACGATGTCGAGCATGGCTCAGGATAGCTCTGAACGAGACGCTGACCTCAAGTTACCTAGCAACGATGAAAAAGGACTCAAGAACTCTACGACACTACTACAAAACATCAGCGTTTCTCCGAGATCCTGAATGCTTAAGTATTGCTATCACAATGATTGAAGGCATAGAGGCCTGCCGTTTTGAACTAGCTTACAATTCAAGTTTATTGAATGCTTGGACAGATTCGCCTCTTATGTTGGCTGGCTTGTGGACTCCAGCAATGAAACCAACACCAGTAGGTGTGGCAACAGACGTTGCTCAAACGCTGAGCGCTGAGGAAAAATTTGATGACTCAGTCAGTTCAATGATGTCTGTCTCCTCATTGCAAACCACCGGATCTCTTATCACCATCGGAGTCAACGAAGAGGAGGCACTCCGAATCATTTTAAGTACTCCTACGCATAATTCTCCGTTTGAGTCAGCTCAGGAATCAGAATCCGATGAAAAAACGGAATTCAATGATCCTGTTCTTGAATCCAAACTTAATCAAGAATACTCAAGTAGTCCTTCGAATCCAGAGGTCATAACCGCTGGCAGAACAGATAATATCACCTCTGAAACATCAGCCAATCAAGATTGTGCAACAGACGTTCAAAGTGATTGTGATCCCGTCCAAAATGTCGGCCAAAGTAGCACAAATGAGAGTTTCTACTTATTGCTCAAAAGTTACAACAATACAGAGGCGAACAACAGGACAAAGAATGCTTTTGAGTCCATGAAACCACGTGATCTGCTGCATAGTCTCAAGTCAAAAAATAGTGAAATCTCAGCGTGTTATAAAATAATCTCTGATAATGTATGTACACATTTTGCCTCTTTATTTTTTCATTTCATAATTGGACTGCATTTTGCAATTTGGAACTATAAATTCTGGCTCCTCTGGAAAAACACTTATGTACATAGGGAAACTAATGGCACATACATTGTTTTTAAACCGGGCTAGAATTTATAGTTCCAAATTGCAAAATGAAGTCCAATTAATCTCTCCTCTCTCAAAGATTGTCATTAGGAAAAGCTAGGAGCTTAACTGTTGAAGCCAGATCTAGCATCTCTGACTCTTCACTGAAGACAGAGATCTGCTCCTAGTAAAATTTATACTGGTATCGGGAAAAAATGCGTAGTTTTTCAAAGAAATGCAAAATGTTGAACCCATTTTTAATTTTGTATCACAATTAATTGTTTTGGGCTTTTTCCATTTTATCAAAAGAGAAACTGTTTTTTCAAAGTCCCTACCTTTCCTTCTTTCCTTTTGTTCTTTTTTTAAGAGGAAGCGACCTGGTAAAGTTGGCCTTTTAACTGTAAGTTTAAACTTTTTTCCCTCAAGTATCACAGAATCTTTAATACTGTTTTTTTTTATTTCTGTCTTGTAGCTAGTCGAAAGTGGTAATGAAGATTACGATGTGTTAGAAGAGACGATGAAAAGTCCATCCGAGGTAAGCCTACTGCAGTTATCCTAAAATTCGATTGGTCTAAGGAAATATGCAATAGATCGGTGGTTTTTCATACATTTTTCAAACTTGGAATCAAAATTTTTATTTTCCTTGCTCTTCAGGAAAATCAAAACATACAAAATTAGGAAAAACTTGAAACCCTTGAATAGAGAATTTGCAGGTGTCTAAAATTTGATGAATTTTGTGTTGAAGTGGAAATTACTAAGTGAACTGAACACGAGAATACCCTTGGTTCATGAATTGAACAATTATTGGAGAAGATATGGCAAAATAATCTTATTCGCTAAAATACGTGTTCAAATGGGAAATGCCGCCAGATGACGTCACTAGGCAGTGCATTTTCTCAAGTCATTTTCCTCAAATTTTTGCCTGTAAGCTACAAACTTGCCAAAATTTTAAAGTAATAATTACAAATACTCTCTGATCCAACTCCCAACTCTTTCATCATAGCTCTTGGTATAACTTTGCACTAATGGTGAGCAGAAAAATGGATTATTTCCCATCAGTTGGATTTTCACATTTTTGACCCTATTCAAGAGTTACGTCAAACACCTATTTTGACAATTCACTATTTTATGCTTTATTCTGTGTTGTCTCTAATCGGATGCATGCCTTTTAAATGTGCCAATATCGTTAGACTTCTTTTGCCTAAACCTGTCTGATTGTCCAAAGTAAACGGAGTAAATGGTTTCTAGCTGCAACTTCATATCCAGGTCTGAGTGTAATTCATATTAAAATGTTCGTTTACTCGTAAAATATTTACAGGAATCAAACGGGCTCATAGAATATTTATACAAAATTCCAACTGAGCTAGGCTTGGACTATCAAAACTACTTGTGCAAGAACTGCGCTCAGCTAGTTGGTATTCATTTCGAAAAAGCAATGTAAGTTCTTCTATCACAATTGTTTAGATTTTTTTTTTGGTATTTTTCTATGTTATCCCTCACCTCTCATCATGCACCTGTACTGTTTGACCTTCTTACTTTTTAATTTTCTTTTTTATAATTGTTGAAATATAGTCTGAAATTTTAAATGGGTTAGTAAATAAATAAAAGAAATGAATAAACAAAAAAAAATTCTCATTAGTTCTCAATGCGTGTGAAAACTTATAAATGGCTTGCACTATTGAGTGGACCATCATTGGCACTCTTGGGATGAACTTAAATGAAAGCCCAATTTTTAGGAAAATCTTTTTTAGAAAAATCGGTGGGTAAAGGGAAGAAAGTAAGGACAGTATTGAACTTACTGCTAAAAATTTCATAAGAAGCAGTTATTAAATCCACAACGATTTCTAGGTACATACCTGCGTTATATAATGCTATGAGGGGTTGATAGGTGAAAGGTCTTCATGATTGTTTTACCAAGGATTACAAGGGGTGCGGGAGGAGGACGGAGGGTTGTTGTCGAGCTGTATGTTACTTGACGGTGCATCAACCCCAAATTTACACTGAACATTTTTTCATTGATTTTTTACATTGATTTCACAACGTTTCTTTTCAATTCTTATCAGCTTTGATACATTAATTTAGCACATAAAATATGTATTTCCAATTTCATTTTATTCCGTTCATTTGCCTTGCCAATTTGTAAAATCTTGTGGAAAGCTTGATTAGAGCTTTTAGTAAAAAAAATGTTACTCAATTCATGATAAGCTTTGAAGTAGACTAGCTCCAGGTTGGTAAGCTTTTTTTGAAGTTGGAAGTTGATTTTAGTGAAAGTCAGTGGCATCGTTGTTCTCTTAAAAATTAAAATGAGATTATTAAATTAAATTGTGAATCTAGGTTGCATACAAAAGTTGAAGTAAGTTTTTTCTTATTCACTAAAAAGTCTTTTTAATTTTTTTTTAGTTATTGTAACTACTTTGGCTGTTATTACTGCCCTGACTGTCATAATGAAGATTCAGCGGTGATTCCTGCAAGGGTAATTTTTAATTGGGACTTCCAGTTCTATCCTGTTTGTAGGAAAGCAGCAGATTTTCTGACTGATATCCAACTTCATCCAGTTTTCAACCTGAAAACGATAAATCCAAAACTGATCTCAGCTGTTCCAGACTTGGACCGAGCCCAGGTAAAGAGATGCTTTGTCTCACAGCCTTCTTTAAATAAGATCTCTAAATTGTTCATTCAAGAACAGGACCAATGAAACCAACAACCCGATTGTGCGAGACAAATCCAAGGGGGATTAGACTTCTATAATTTCTAACCGGCTGTTCTCCTGAATTCCTCCCCCAGTTTTTTCTTGGAAATTGATTGCACTTTTTTTTCATTTATTTATTAATCATATCACTGATGGAAACATTATGGTTTACCAAACATATTTTCAAATCATAGCAAAAGAAAAAAAAATCAGAAAATTTTGAACGGATAGAATGTTTTTCCTTTGAAATTCTTGCAGATTAGTGTATTTGATCCAATGGTGCATCTAGCAGGAGTTGCACTCAGTAAAACAGATATATTCCCATAAGGTTCAAAAACACTTAAGTGGTTTAGGAGTTGAATCGAGTCTTGAGTATTTGTCATTGCTGAAGCTATGTTGTCATCTCATGCTGGTAATGTGAATGTGTTTATATTTAATATACGTTATAAGTCCTCAAATATTGCACTGATGTATTTTTCAATGTAGAAAGCCCTGCACTACACTGCTTAATGATGTTCATTTATAAGTCTTGGAAATAAGAAGTAATCTAAAAATACCTAGCTCAAGAAACCTTTTCTGTATTTTGAGCACCTACTCATGTTTTCTCCTTCATTATTTATTATGTTAACATTCTTTTTTCTCTCATTTTACCCTCTAGCGACTGCGGCTGCAGTTACATTACCTTGCAAAGTATTTAATCACTTGTCGAGAGTCCATCTCCGATCAGCTCCAGAAACTCATCTGGCCGCGGGAATATCTGTACGAGCACATGAATATTTACTCAATGGCTGTAAGTTTTATTTATCCACGCTATCGCAAGAGCAGTCATGGCTGAATTTTCGACATTTTTTAGTTTTCTTCAAAATTTGGTCAAAAACTTTGTGACAGTTTTTGGAAAATTGACTGCTGTGTTTGATTCCACCTTGATTGTTTATGTTCTAGAATGTTCACGTTCTCGAACATTTTGTCCTTTGATGTTGTGTGCTGCTCCCTTGATCCAGTTTTTATGGTTTATTTTTTTATTTCTGCGCTTGCTCATTTCTACAGCAAAGCAATATCGATAGACTAAGAGTAAAAATCCTGAGAACGGGAAGCATTCCTTGATCTTTTGATTATCATGTATTCTTGGGATCCATGATGGTTGAAGCAAAGACATGACAATGCAAGAGAGCAGCCATTGAGGAACTTTTATATCTCACACTCCAACTAAAAATAATTCAATCTTTTAAAGCACGCTTTTTAAGCTATTTAATATGTTTCTAGCAAATATTTACATAATTCGCCGAAATTAAAGTAACTTTTTAACCATGCAACAGTTTCATTGATTTTGAAATAGCTTTAGTCTAAACTTAGTGATCATTCATGTCTTAGTAAAGAGGAGGTGTTAGAGAATGTCACCAAGTAGTCAAGGTCCTTCTTAAGATCTATAAGATCTGGTATTCAGGGTGTTTTTTGTACCATTTCAATCAAAGATTTTTTAATTTTATCCTCTCCGTTTGATTCAGGATCTATCTCAAATCGCAAATGGTGTTTTAATTCCATTTTTGCTGAAAATCGTCTCGCTCGCCACAACTCATGTTACGGACTGCTCTTTCTGTCACTCCAAAGGATTTATATGTGAGATATGCAAAGATCCAGAAATAATATATCCTTTTCAATTAGAAACTGCGCATCAGGTTTGTAAATCCTTTTTCGTTCTTATTGTTGTTGAACGGTTGTAATGATAATGTGTTTCATGGTGTTTCATGATTCCTACGAGTGGCTCGAAGACTTTGACAACCATGGACCACTTACATTTTAAGCACAGAACCCGCAGACCTATTGGAAAATTGGAGTTTTATTTATTTATTTGCTCTAATTTCAGAACGCATCAAATGCAATATCTGACCCCCAAGCAGCAGATTATGGGAGGAAGAACTTCGTAATTTTCTTCTTTAAACTGAAAGTTTTTCTCAGTCACCATATTTTCATATGTGTAAATGATTCCGATAGGCTTTAGCAGAACACCTGAGACTTATCTGTTGAATGTCCTTTCAGAATTGCATGTTCACAGCTTGGATTTTAACGGCTTTGAAGGAATTTGCTGTTGTTTGTTTATTTTAGTCCCAAATTACATTTATAACTTTTTTAAGAGAAACGAGTGGGCAATTTTTGATCCGCTTGGAGGGGAGTTTTATAACTGTAACCGCCCAGACTTTTATATGAAAAAAAGCTCGGAATTGAAAGGGAATAATACACGCAACTCCCTTGAAAAGTTCAATTTTCTTATGGACAGTCACATCCACGCTCTGAACTCTGGATATGAATGCTGTGTTTCACAAGAGAAGTCTGGGGAAAGAAGGGAAAAAACCCTGATTTTCAGAGGACCCTGACTCCAGAAAAGGGGAATACCATCAAGGATTAAAAAAATTCAAGAATCCCACTTACCATGCCAATTTGTTGTAAATGTAGATCAATAAAAAAAGAAAAAAAGAAAGCAAAACAGAAACCTCAATTTATGAATAATTAAAGTAACTAAGTGGAATAAAATTATTCTTTCTTTGCTTCCAGTGTTCGCAGTGCAACAGCGTTTATCATTCAAAATGTTTCAAAGATTCAAAATCTTGTCCAAAATGCATCCGAAAACAGAGGTATGAAGCGGCTAAATTATCAACCGAAGAATCAAAGAAAGTTACGGTGATACCGTTTGTAGGTCAAGAGGTATGACAAGCATAATATGAATGACAGAATAATGACTCGCGTTAAAATATAACGCTCGCTCTTTCGAGGGATGTTGTGATTATATTTGAATAATTGCAAGCCTGTTTTAAACATGGAGAGAAGTTGGCTAACAAAAATGTAGGAGATCAGGAGTGGTAAAATAGTTGCCAAAGTTGGAAGTTAGAGGAAAAAATCAACTAATCGTAAGAATTTACGACACGGCATGGTTGAATGCAATTTCTCCTGATCTTCCTTACTAGAATGTTTTTTTTTTATTGTGAGTATATCCATATGAAATTAGAAAGCAACACTTATTGGTCTATTGTTGTATAGAATGTCTTAGGATTAATGCCTAAAATTTCAGGTGCGATTCCAGAGACCAAAATGAGACTATTTTTGTTCTTTGTACATGAACTTTAAAATCAAATTCCTCCAGGCTACAGGGTACTGCGCTACAAGATGATATTCATTTTTTTTTTTTTATCATAAATCCTCTTTTGGATGGTTAGCCATGCAGTTTGACGCTAGGCTATAATTTTTGTTGCCAGCGCAAAATTTGGAAAAAAAAAACTTTTGATGTAAGTATCTCGAGGATTCTTAAGATATTTCAACCTTTCAGTCGTCAATTCTTGTTTCTTCCGAGAAATTATTTCCAAAGTATTTATCCCATTATTTTATTTATTTATTTATTTTTTTTTTGGAGAGGGTATCAAAAATTGCAGAATTTTTCAAAAATTTATAACATTCACGATTATGATAAATCGCATATTTTTCTTTTGCAACTTTGAAGAGGTTTGATTTCGGATCCTTTCACAGTTCAAGTCTTATTTTGATCTCTATAACCACCCCTCAAATTTTTTGGTGTCAACCGTGGGACGTTTTGTCTATATAACATGAGATTCAAATTTTATTTCATCAAGGGAAATACTCAATTTCCTCTGTTAAGTTCTGATCTGTTAAGTTCTGTTAAGTTCTTAGAAAAATAACACAGAATCGCAAGAGGTTACATGGAAAATTTTGCAACATGGCAAATGAAGATCGGAGTCTTATTATCTCCTCCAAAAATATGTTAATTGCCAATCATTATCCTACTGCCACTGTTGCCTCCATATTCAGGCGTACAGTTCAACCTAAATTTTAATTTACATCCCTGTTTTGCCGTTTTTAATGAAATTTTCTCTGTATGTAACTGTTCCCCGGAAAACTGATCTTAGTACTCTATAGCAAATTTTTCAAAGAAGAATTTTGTTGAGTTGGATGGAAATTTAGAATTTGGCTATTAATAGAAAACACTCTCAAAGAAAGAATAAGCCTTGGTTCCTGTAGGCGCAAAAAAGCGTCTTAATCTGAGAATTTTAAGCCCTGGATATGGCCTATTGAAATTTCCAATAGAGCTTCCTTGAAACTACATTTAGAAATGGAAATTTCAATTTTTAGACGTTTCCTGCCTCAAAATGTCAGTATAATACTCCTCTACACAGTGTTATCAATAATTCAACTTTAGTTTTTTCAACACAAAGGTCCTTTTTTCTATGGATGCTCACATTTTATTATGTTTAAAGGTAAAGTGAAAATTACCATGAACTTGGCCAGCTCATGAAACTTTATACTCATTAACTAACATTTTATGTTAAGACATGCTCTTTCCAATTTTGAAGATCCATGAGTGTGTCTGAAAAAATATCAGACATGCAATGAACCTGAAAGAAATATGGTAAGTCTGACGAATTTTAATATCTGGTCTTAGTGCAGTCAGACTTGGAATGTACAAGTTTCTCATTGACTCATTATTAAGCAAACATTTTCTCTTACTGTTCTCGAAAGGATGAGAAGAGTTGAGGACTTTTTTGGTGAAAGGGCGTATAAGGCTTGCAATGCCCCTGAAATTGTGCAATTTTTCATAGTGTTTGCGGCAGATAAAATTCATTTTACAGTCGACTTATTTCCTTACGATAGTGAGGAAAATCTTAGAGCAATTTTAGGGAAGAATTCATAGCAGAATGGACCACTAGACACGGTACGAATTTAAGCGATCTGATACATGTTTCTTAACCAGAATTTCACGTAGAAAACGATTCACACAACAAAAATTCCTGAAACCAACTCCTAACGGAGATATTAACGTTTTTATTTCACATTGGTTACGAGGAATTTGAACTGCCCGCTCACAAGAAACTCAAAGCTCTACGTGAGTCAAATTGCACACTACAACGGTTTCAGCCAGCTTCTCAATCGAGCAATGTTCATTTCCCACCATGTGTTGTTTAAACTATAAGCAATTTGCTACAGCTGAGTCAAAGCGTCAAGATTGAGGTTGCCAGATTTTATATCGCAGAGACTGTCATGATAGCGTTTAGCGCACGATGTGAATCACGTAGAGCATTGAGTTTTCATGAGCGGGTGGTTTGAATTCACGTATCAAGAATCATTAAATATCTACGTAAGGAGTTAATTTCGGTAATTTTCGTTGTGTGCATCGTGTTTTACGTAAAATTTTGGTTAAGAAACGTGTATCAGAATGCTGAAATTCGTACCTTGTCTAGTGGTCCATTGTCGAATAAGTTACTTACAACTAGAGGAGTATACATTGCACAATTTTAGCACCATCAGAAGTCTCATACGCCCTTTTACCGAAAAATGTCTCAATTACGGACTCAAATTACAGCTTATGAAAAAGAAATAAAGAGAAAAAATAATGATTAAGCTCATTTACTCAGGCATGCTATAACCTCCCAAACGATGAATGACAATTTTTCATGACCTGACGTTTTTGCCTAGTTGCAGTGATTCCCACTGATCTCATGGCAAATCATGTGATTTGTCCTGACTTTTTATAAGTGATGGAAAAAAGGAAAGAAAGATCATCCCGTCTAAAAATTGTCTCATGTCTCAAGAGTTGCCTCACATTTGCCACGATCCACAAGTTGTAAGATTAGGCTTTTCTTGCACCCCTGAATTTATTCTCAATCAAGATAAACTTGCAGCCAATTTGAGCCGCAGAAGCACTGATGGCTCTTCAAAGTTTCAACTCTTATCAGTAAACTGACGTGAGTCGCACTTTAGTCACTCCAAATGTGCCTTGTTGGAAATTTATTTTATTATGTCGTTTTTAAGTTTTAAAATTTTTACTTTTTATTCCACGAGCTAGCAATAAAATCGTTTTTTCAATTTTTCATCTTGTGTTTTTCATAAAAATTTCAGCGTACTGAATCAAGCACTAAACAGGGTGGAGGAAATAAAATGTTTTTGATTTAAATCCAAAGGCCATTATACAGAGGTTAGATCTTCTGAAATATTACTTTTGTAACTGGATATTCTATCCTGCTTCATATATTTATTCATATACTTGATTTATGACGACTTTTGCAGAATGATTTAATGACAACTCAGGACTTAAAAACTTAAAAAATCTGTTGATTTATTTACAAAAATATACATCGTACCAAGTGTTATACAGGCCAGTAATGTGATCCATAATTCCAAACCTTAACACAGAATATATCGCAGATCTGATATTAGTTGATTGATTAAAAAACTACTACAGGGTGTCTAGTTTTTTCCTTTTGGAAAATCCTGGTTTTTCCTGATTTTTGATTGCTAAATCCAGATTTCATAATTTTTCCAAATCCTGATCAAATCCTGATTTTTTGCAAAGAAATATTAATGTAATGTAAATTCACAAAAATAGCTCGAAAAAAAAAATCCGATCGAACGGCCGAATTTACTCAAATCCTGGTAAAATCGGGATTATATCCGGATTGACCTCAAATCTTGTTAGAATCGGGATGATGGGGAAAATTCTGATGCTAGACACCATCTACTACCTCCTACTGATAGTAACCTCCATGTATACTTTTATTTCCAATAAATGCCTGCAAAAAATTCAACCGTTTGGTATTGAACAGGAAAAGTTACATTTATCAGTCATTTGATGACCTTACTAAACTTGCTTGCAGCTTCTATCTCCACAAATGTTTCAATACCCGATTTTGAAGTAATGATGAGTAAACTAGTGACCCTTTAAACACAGTCTTCTTTTCCTGTCACAGGTAAATTATTTTACTGATAAGGCCGTTTTAAGAATTTTACCCTGGTACTCCTCATTTTTTTTTCATATCATACTCGGATAATTTAAGTTATTTTTCGATACTAACATTGATATCACAATGTTCATTCAAAGTTATTCACAATATCCTCAGTAGACACTGAAGGCAGAAAATTCACTGAAAAAAAAGGTTTTTATTCACATATACCTCTTCTCAAGTAGTGTTTTTGCAAAGGAACGTTGTGATTCGAGGACATGAAGTTGCAATTTTACGGTCACTTTAATCGTGATTTTAATAGGACCATCAACATTTGAATGACTCCACCCTCCACCCAATGAATAAAATCAATACTTATTCATTCTTAAGTGCAATGTAGCTCAATTAATCGCAAAGTTTTCACCAATGATAGCAAAAAAAATTGGCATGGATGAGGTGACGAGTCCATCGCAATACGCAATTAATAATAATTTTTTGTTACAATAATGCTGCAAGAAATTACTGTCAATGAAATTGCTTAAAATTGCTCTCATTGCTACTTGGATTATCAGCTTCTGACATTCTTCCCACAATTTCTCTGTTTGTTTAATGGCTACATTTTCATTTCAATCCGCTCATAGATTGGCATCTGGTAAAATTTTTCCTGAAATTTGACAATTCTGGGGCTGTAGAATTTTTTAAATTATCAAAGCAAATGCTTTCACTAAGCTGCGGATCTAGAATTCTTCATTTGGTTTTTCTTTTGCTGCGCGTCTCCTCTTGCTTTTTTGCTGCTTTCTTCTTCATGATCTGCAGCCTCTTGTCTGCTGTGATAAGGTTGATTTTCGGTTGAGGCAGTTTGTTATTACTGCTGCTACCACTTCCACTACTGCTGCTGCTAGAAGAGGATTTGCTCGAGTGAGATGATTTACTCCCGGATGATCCTTCTGAAACAGTAACCACAATAGAAGGATAACAACAGAGAAAAAGAAAGACATACTGTGGGCTAAAAAAAGGACCTTAAAAGAAATTTTAAGAGGAGCAATTCGTGTTAATCATCGTTTAAAAATGAGCGGCTATTTGGGTTAAATATGAGCACATCATTTAGAATTCTGAGGAAGAATTCACAACAATCTGAAAAAGTTTTTGTGACTATAAAATAAGTGAAATTTTGTTAAAATTCAACACCTGTGAGACCCAAACAAACAAGATTCACAAGAAACACAGAGTTTAATCCTGCATTATTTGAATGCTAAAATGATATGTGTGAACAGAATTTGTTTGTTGTATGATTTCTTTTGATTTCATTCTTTTGCACATTGTACTTGCCATTGTCCAATGTTCTTGAGCAATTTGAAAAGCGTTGCGCGTCGGTAATTAAGAACAATACTTTCGACAGCAAATCAGATTTTCTGTTTTAATGAACGATAATAGTTGGCGCCTTAAGGGCCCTTTAGCCGACTCCATTTCATCAGATCCACAAGGTGAAAAGGAAGGCTTTGCAAGGTGCAAAGGTTGCTTTAATGCCAGGGTAAAAATTTCAACCAAAGTTTACAGCTAGGAGCACTTACTGTTGGAGAAAGATTGTAAAGGAGAACTCCTCGAAGACACATGAGGAGACGATTTTCCAGAGGAACTTTTTGATGTTAGACTGGGACCAGAGGATGAAATTCCCAGCGGGACAGGATGTGACTTGGATAAGGAATTCTGAAAAAATAATGTAACGGACATAAAATTGCTGTTGAGAGTTATTGTTGAATAAATTTCTAACTGACAGAGCAACACAGAAGATCCTTCTGAGAAAACTTGGTAGCGGAGAAATCATGATTCACGCTGATTTGAGATTCAGGAGTGCCACAGCATTTAGAGGATTTTGGTAAAAACCCCGGACAGTGAAAGATATGCCAAATGTTTAAAAAGGCAGAGTACAGATAGTTTTCAAGACTTTGTAGTTCAAAACGTCAAACCAATTCTGGGAAGCAAATAAAGGTGAGTTGACAACTTTTTCTCAGCACTTTCATCAATTTCCCTGATATTTCTCGATTTCCCTTGACTGGTCCCCATCATATAACTAATATTTCCTCCATCCTTGGATTGGACTCCATTAAATGCGATGGCTAGGTTGAAAGATGCATGCCTTCATTGCAACTTCGAAAAATCTCAGATTATATTTTACATTCTTAAACAGAAAAATAAACCAACCTCGCATAAGGTTAAAAAATGTTCTGGCAATAAACAAGGAAGTTGTTGCTAACTTGATCTAAGTTGTTGCTAAATTGATCTATCAATTTATTAAGTTTTGTTTTTAAAAATTTAAATTTACAAATTTAAAAATTGCTGCAGCGCTTAGAGCCAATTATTTGAATTAGATCTACTGGTTGTCAAAAGAAAAATCCCTTTCGATCAATTTTACTCTACAGCAATCTCTCATTTGAGAAGGGATTAGCAAGAAAGGGTAGAAAATGGAAAAGATTCTTACCGATGGCGAACAACCATTGCAATACCAGACAAATCTTGGGTCATTGACATCACTCTTTAAAACAGGAGGAATATGACACTCTTGGTGATAGTAGGCGTGACATTCGACACATTCTATCAGACGGTTGTTGGATGCCCATTTACTTTCTCTGAAAATAAAAGAAATAAACGCCATTCACAATTAAAACAGACGTGAAATTCATGAAAAACTGAAACGTCGACAAACTTTGAGTAATTTTTCACAAAAACTCTGATTGAATTATGCAAATGGTGAAGAGACTGTTTGCCTAACTAAGACTGCCCAAGAAGGCGGTATTTTTGAGAGCTAAAAAGATATAAAATTTCTATGAGATACTTTCATTTTCTTTGACATTTTCTTACGTTGAGTTAATTTTTTTAGAAATCACTCTTAACTCGGGGTGTTTATGCAAATCTATTACTAAGTTTCTGATGACTATCTGGATAGAATAAAAGGTAAAATATCTTGCTGCATTCTTTTTACATTTTGCAAAAAACAGTCTGAAGTTTGCATCTCTTTGAGAGACAGGAAATCGCTTAGCTTTTCTCGCTGCAGCATTAAATTCAAACCTGAAAATAAACTCTACCATCCTTGGATATCTGTTAGCCAGCAAAACAGTACTTACCCACAGCCTTTACACCTATTATCATTTCCAAGGGCTAGAGTCAAGCCATCCATGCTATCCGAGTCATTTCCATCCGAAACGTAAAGCTCTTCAGGTAAAGAGAGTGCTGGAGGAGATGGTGGTTCCGCCTTGATATCCTCAATTTCAGTCTTGATTTTAGGGGGCAGTATTTTGCCTTTATCCACATGCTGACTTGGTTTGCTAACTATTGGGATTGAGTCTTCAACATAGCTCCCCTAAAATTCATCACATAGAAAGGGGGTTAAAAAAGAAAGAATTTAAAAAAAAATCTTGAAGATCTATGAAACATTTTTGATTCCTGCCACCATTAATAATTAATACTTAATAGGTACTTAATAATTAATACTTAATTTGACCATTAATAATTAATCATTAAATAAGCTCATCAAACATTTTTGCGACCAATCATAAATGCCTACAGGGATTTAGGGTTATCACATGACTTTTGAGGGTGAACACTTCCAGTGAAACACAATTTTATTACAACACTCATTGTACTTTCCTTGTGGTTAAAAAAGAAGTAAATACAAAGTACAATGTGATCATACGTGGAAAAGGGATCTTTGTGCAAAGAAGCAAAATTTTCCCAAGAGATCATAAAATTAGAATTAGGGTTTCCAATAGGAAAACGTTTTTTGCACACTAAAGACGGAAATACTTAGTCAAAGTCAAATTTGAATCCAACAACCAGGAGCTGCGATTATGGCAGATCTAAACTTCAAGCTGCATTTTTTCAAATCCATGTTTTTTGAGCTGTAAGTTCTTGAAACTTGTCAACTCTTCATTGGTTTGACAATTTTTAGCAGTCAATTATGGTATCATCCCAAAGATTGAAATTATTGAAGAAGACACTCAGACAAAAATGTCAGGCAAAATGGTTGGCATCTCAGTGATATTTTTATTCTTTGATCAATGCCAAAATGCAGGCAAATCGTTATGAATTAGCCAATAGTGACGGTGAAAGTTGTTCAATTTCTAAATAATTTAATGGGCCTGTTGCAAACTTTTGCTAGAGCAAAAATAAGAGTTGTTAGGTACTCAGAGCAAGTGTCACGATGAGCGCATCGGCAAGGTCTCGAATGCACTCCTTGCTTCACAGTTTGGATAAGAAATTTGCGTTTTTTCGAGCTTCCTGCTTTAAAAACGATACCGCGGCATGGGTAAACATTTCGTCAGAGGAGTTATTCCAACTAACCCTGCTCACAAGGATACCACGCAATATTCAACACAGCCGACGCCAATCCGCATGAACACATGTGACGGGACAAAGATTCTAACCACCTGATAAGAATCGGCGTGTTTACATTCACACTTTTCTCGCATTGATAGATATCCGCCCTGATTGACCTCTTGCTCTCCTCAACTTGAAGCGTCGGCCAGGTTGAGCAGGGATTGAATGGAACGACTCCTCTAACGAAATGTTCACCTGTGCTGTAGTATCCTTTTCAAAGCGGGAAGCTTAAAGAAACACAAATTTCTTATGCAGATTGTGAAGTTAGGAGGGCATTTCAGAGTTTACCGATGCGCTCATCGTGATTTTTGAGACATTATCGATAAGGAACAACTCTTATAGCAAAAGTTTGCAACAGGCTCATTGCAGAAGATCTGTGAAATAATTGTCTTACATGAATTAAGGGAGTAGCAAGGTAAGAATTGATCGGCTTATTTGCATAACGAGGATCTTTCCGAATACTGTCTACTAATAACAGCCGCAGTTGTTCAATAGCATCAGGAGCACTCGACAAAGCATGCGCAATCGACTTGGTAATCTCGGGATCAATATCTACAGGTGGTGGTTTAAGAGCAGACCTATGAAACATAAAAATATCATGCAGATACATTCAGATACTCAAGTAACTCTTCAAATTAAAAGAGTGTATTAAATGACAAGCAGTATGCAAGATTGAAGATACAGAATTGTTTTTTCTCCTGAAGACTATTTTAAGAGAATAAAACATTGTAAAAAAGGGGGAAAGAACGCTAAATCTTGGTACTTGCAGATCATCACAAACAGGAGGCGAATCTTAATTAGCGATTACAGCAACTTTCACAAGTGATGACCGCTTTTATTTTGCTTCTACCTTTTCGCACACAATATGGAAAAGTAGGTATGTACTGGAAAATTTCTATGGGATGGATTGAAAATTTTACCACAGTAAAAACACTGCATGGCAGGAAATGATGGGTATTTTAAAACTTTTCCGTCCCTACCTAAATCCCTGATGAATTGCAGCAAAAGCAGGATGAAAGATAAGTTTGATCAAGGGTGCAAAAAGTTCATCCTCTGATATATCATCAGCAACTACATAAGTTTTCTGATCAATTATTTGTTGAAGAAACGCACCTTTCGAATTCAAAGACTTTCAAAATGACTAGAGGCATCGTCAGCTAAGTTTGGACTTGTTCACATTCCGCTTGTATGCAAGTCTGATAGCAATCGAGGATTGACCATGGCCAGATCGTGAGCAAAGTCAATCCTTGATTCTTATTAGATGACTGCATCGCAAACACATCTGCATCAAAGTCGCTTGCAAACATAATGTAAACAATAACAAACATGGTCGAGGACACCTCCTATGATTTTTCGTTATTGAACCAATATGATTTTAGTAGCACTTGTGATGATAGTAAGGAGAATTTTAGAATTTTTTTCTAGGAGATACCAAAGCAGCAGAAAATGTAGGTGACAGACTGATGGTTGACGCCTAGTCATTGCTCTTTTTTTTTTTTTTTTCGAATACTCCGCATATCAAAGATGAATCCGATGTGACAGTCTGTTGAATGATGATTACTATTACTGGTAGAGATATTCTCTGATACTTACATCGCCATTTGAAAAACTTAATAAAATGATTTAAATGATCTGAGCTATTGAAATGAATGAGTTGATTTCTCCTTCGCTAAACTGTCGCTTTTCTTTGATGTAATGCGAGACACACTGGGAAATGTGACCTTTTTTAGTTTGTGATTTAATGATTACACTTATCACCACATTGAAATGATTGAAGATAAAATTCAATTCATTGATAAAAGATGAGAAAAAGTCTCTTCTCCTTTTCCACACTGAGCACTGAGCATAAAAATCGTTCAAATCGTTTATCGTAGGGAGGGTAACATGCAAACATAACCTAACTCTTTCTCACCGTTGGCTCAACGTTTCGTCAGCAGATGAGTCCCCGAATGTAAACAGAGAATAACCGCCCCTTCAACATTTCAATTGTTAGTGTTAGTTCTAAGTGTTTGGAGTCCTTTGAAAATAGTGCGTGTGTTTTCGAAATCTACATCTAATCATATCTAATCTTGAAACAAAGCCTTAACACCTGTCTCTCACGACCATCAACCATTAATTTTACCAAGAGGATCAGGGACTACTGAACAATCCAACTCATTCGATTGTGCAAGTACGTCAGCGCTACCCCAACTTGTTGTTCCGAGAATCGGAGCGTGTCGTCCAGTCGTAAGTATTCCTCGACAATTTTCTTGATTCGCAATTTGAAATTGCCTTTTTCGCAGCTCTCTCCCCAACTGAAAAACCACTGACATAAAAAGCGGATTCCTTCCTCCCATGTATAAGTAGTATGGCGTAGCTCAGCACACCATGCCCCGGCCAGTGCAGAATTTTTCTCTTACGTCGCATCAAATTTTTGCTTTCACTTCAATTGACATGCTGAAAACGCTTCAATCCAAGGAGGTTTGCTTCTAACACTTTTAATTTTATATTATCCTATTATAGGAAGAATCTCCACGATTCCCGCAGATGTTCTGTTACCAAAGTGATCACGCCTACAAGAGAGGACTAATCAATGCGATAACTTCAACGAGTCAAACATACCAATATTACCAATTTTTTAGGTAGAAAAATTGAGCGCTATTTTTGATAAGTCACTTTATTGTAGCCAAATCATTTGGACGTATTTCTATCAAACGGAACTAAGCGCCAATTTGAGTTCCTTTTGAGGAATTTAGAATCCCGGATAGCGGGCTCTGTCAAACAGACCTAAGCGCCAATTTGAGTTCCTTTTGAGGAATTTAGAATCCCGGATAGCGCGCTCTGTCAAACAGACCTAAGCGCCATGGAAAAGCATTGCAAGTATAGGATGGAATAAGCCGGACGCCTGATTCCGCCGCCAATCCAAGCCCCCCTCTACCGTCCTCACCCAATGGCGCTTGGGTCCGTCTGATAGAAATTCTTCCATTTGTGACATATAAGAAAATTATTCTCTAAAAACACAAAGCAGGGCCTCTACAGCATCTCTGCCCAAACTTAAATTGTATTATGACTTTAATTATTACTGATACTTGATACTAATATAATTATACAGACGGGCAGTATAACGCGATTTTCTTACCTCCAGTTTTCATAAATACTGGCTATCTGCCTGTGTGTTGGATTAAGACTCGCGTCAGCTAGTGTCATCTGTTGCTCTTCTGCAGGGAGGAGAACGTTCGATAGTATTTGCATCTTGTGGAAAGCCTTAGCACCTGCTGCACCCATACCATTTGAAAAGTATTCTTCAAATGCGTCCCTTGTATCGTCAGTTACTCGCTGTAATCTCAGTTGCTGAGCATCAAACACAGGATGAGTGTGCTTGAAAGTAATCTGTTTAAAAAGACCATACAAGATCATTACCGTACTGATCATAATAAGAGGACTCATACCAGTTTTCAAAACTTACCTTTGAGTTTCAAGAGCCATGTGGCTTATCAAGCTCGATTTTTAGGGGCCAAATTGACTTTTTGCCTATATATCATGGCGCATTTAGTAAGAAGTTAGACGCCAGATGTTTTGATGAGAAAGATGTCTTAGTTACATAACAAGTAGCTGTAACTTGGGAGACATTTTGAAAAATCACTAAACAGGAAAAATTATGATTTTTTCTCGGGGAGAGGGAGGGAGGCAATTTTTAGGGGCCACGTTGGCGCAGAGCCTTCATTTTTTAGGCACCATGACCGATTTCTTAGGCGCATTTGGCACGTTGGCGCCTGTCAGTTTCGAACACTGATTTATACTAATCATATTTGAGTAATTTTCCGATAATATTTTTGTTGCCAGCTGAGTTTTCGAACAAGTCGGACTAATTCATTGGAAAAAAACAGTATGATAACAGTCCTCTTTCCTCCAGTTCCTTTCTTCATGTCCCACAATGTGGCCTCTGCTTTTATTATTAAAAAAAATTAATTTTAAAATATAAATATTTTATAAATAATATTAAAAAAATATAAATATATATTCTATATATAATATTTTTAAATATTTTATATATATAAATATTTTATTATAAATATTTTTAAAATTATTTTTTTTATTTTTTTAAATTTAAAATTAAGGGACTTGGATGACAAGGCGCAAAGGGGCAAATTTTACTATTTCAAGAAATATGTGTTTAAAGTTTCAAAATTTTATGGAGCCGTAAGGCGGAAAGAATACTGGAACTCTCATTTTGTGATGAAAAACAGGCATTTAGCATTGAATTTTTCACGGAATATATTTTACAACTAGTTTTAGTTAAAATCAATAATACTTTAATTTTTAAAAAACTGCCCTTACTTAAATGCTCCTTGTCCTCCAAGTCCCTCAACTATAGTTAGAGATCGATTACAAAGAGTGTCCCAAAAGTACTGTTCAAACCCAGCGTGAAATGTGAAATCCAGTCTAGACCCTAACCGCAGCCCCCTGTGCGGGTCTGAGACTCCTCCGTACCGGCTTGGCTCAGCTAGTCTATCATCTCAGTCCAACCCCTGTGCCCTTCCTCTGATTTCTTCTCAACAGTTTTAGCCTTGAACTAATCGATCCAATATTTATTCATTCAGTCGAGTCTTGTGGACAAAGCAAGGTTCCAATTTTTGTCCTATGCTTCGCTTTTCTATGCAGTGAAAATATTTTTAAGTGCAGAATTTGAGGACTTTTTCGGTAAAATGGCGAATGGAACTTGCTATGCTGCCATGATTGCGCAGTTTATGTAGCGTTTGCGGCAAATGAAATTCATTCACAGTCAATTCACCTCCTTACAATCGCCAGGAAAAACTCGGAGCAGATTCAACGAAAAATTCATAGCAAAGCAGTCGGATAGAGAGCCTCGTTGCACAATCTCAGCAGCAATGGACGTTTCATACACTCTTTTACCGAAAAATGCCTCAATTATGTGAAGTGAAAATATTTTTTAGTGCAGAAAATTTCGCAATGCAGAGTCATGACGTCGACTAAGGTGATTCGACTGTTCCCATTTTTTTTGTCAGAGCCACGTGCGATGTATCGCATCAATTCGTTCCATAAATTCAGTTCCATAATTTACTTCTCATTTTCTTCGAATTTTGAGATCGCACTTCTGTTGTCAAAGAATTCTTGTACCAAATCTGACAAAGAAATTCAACGTATTAAAGGCAGGGTTTTTTCGGAGGAAAACTATCGCATCCGAGTGCAGTTTCGATATCAGTATCGAATGCGATATTTTTCCTCTAAAAGAACCTTGCCTTTATTACGTTGTTAAATTTGATACATGAATTCTTTGGTATCATGACAACAGAGGTGCGATCTCAAAATTCGAAATTAATGACAAGTAGCTGAAATTATAGAATGAATTGATGCGATGTATCGCACGTTGCTCTGACGCAAAAAATAGCAACCGTCGAATCACATTAATAATTGGAAATTCATAGAATCCATGCAAAATGATCCAAGAGACACGGAGAACGAATCGAGACAGAATCCTTATGCGCGTCTAGCGGTATCAAGAATTTAAAGATGGAGACTGTACATTCCACGAGATCTTAGGGGGGATTTGCGAGTTAGCAACGAGCAAAGTGATGAGGAAGTTTGAAGAATTTCTTCGAACAGGTAAATAGCAATATTAAAATTACTGATAGTTACCGGAATTTTGGGCGTTTTTTATTTCGTCCATGTTACCGCTATTGGACATTCCGCATACTTGGTTTTTATATTCGATATTTTTTTTTTACTTTGGACAGTTACTTTTGAACATTTTGACTTACCACCAGCACGTCTAATGCCAAAAATCCCGCATTTTTCCTATAGTCGGCCTTCAGACCATATTAAGGTCAGTATTAGACCTAGAAAGAGACCCAAACTGACCAGATCATGCTGCCGTGCTAAGGAAGAGCGCCGTATGAACATTCGGGAGTTGCCAGATTTACTTCGATAAAATGTTTATTTCTGAGGAAAAATTTTGAATATTTTTCCTTGAAATTTTCAGACGTTTTAGATCAAATTACAAACAAAATTATCTGAGAAATTGGCAGGTATGAATATTCAAAAATTTTCCTGAAAATTAGTGATTTGCCAGGGGGACTTTGGCAACGCCTGAAGGCTCATGCGGCGTTCTTCCTAAGCACGACAGCATGATGCACTTCATAAAATAAGGACCTTTAATGGGCAAAAACTCGTCAAGTTGAGGAATTGCAGGGTGGGTCCAAAAACGGTCCTTATTCCGATACCCCTCCAAAGGGGTTTCGTTCTGTTAGAGTTGAAAAAAAAAAAAAAAAAACTCATTTAAATTTTTCCAACAACCAAAAGAAATTCTCTACCTAGAAATTGTTTTCTTCACATAAAAGGGAAATTTCTTGCGGTTTGAGAATTCCAGTCGAAGACTCTGATCACGTGTCATTGAATTTGTTATTAAGGAAATGTCATATCCATATTGTTCTTCAATGCCTAAAATGGCATTGTTTGTTCGTTTCTCAGCGAGTGCTTACCTTTATTTCAGTGTCCAATCCCTTCGACAAGAAACCTCCTCTCTTAAGATCACGCCATCGTGTTGAATCACTCTGTGGAATCCGCAATTTTTTAAACTCTAATCTAGCCCAACACTTCAAATTTCGCTTTCCAGTCTCGCTTTTATTCCGTGAATTAAGGTGACAGACGTACTGCTTCCTAAATTCATAATATTTCCCTACTTTTTGCTCCCAATAAATAAAGTTACAATGTACCGCAGCTACAAACTTCCTCTTCCAACTCTCGCACTGCTGGAAAAAAGTCATCGAAGGGTCTTCTTCAAAACATGTTCTTATCACACAATTGAAGTTTTCCCTAATATCTATAACACCACTTTTGACAATTTCATAATGGCTTTCGCCGAAAACTTCCGCGAGAACCTTGTGAAGCGCATCTTCCCCGATTCCGTCGTCCATATCGGTAAATTGACAAATGCCCCGAGTAAATCTTCGCTGTTCGACACGAACATCCCTCGGACACTGAATAATTAGAAGGCAACACGCCGACAGAGAGACAGAGACAGACTCTCGGAGGAGACAGGATAAGACTTGACTCTGACCTGGAAAAATCATTCCAAGTGGATCCAAAAATTTCAGTTTTTCCTTGAACAAGTCAATGGTGCATCTAAAAATGCACTAAACTTTTGGCAACACTGCGAAAGGCTCGCTTTGAGGAGGAAGGCGATGGTTCCCGGAAAACAAAAAGAGTGCGCCGCGAGGTCAGCCCGTTCATTCCTGAGGGTTGCGGACAATCAGACGGAGTGTGAGAGTGCCCAGGGACCTGGCACCCAAGTCGAGGGCGCTGACAAAAACCCATACGTCACGGGACTGGGCAGCGGTGGAGCACCCCCAGCGAGAGGGCAGAAGGGTAGTATCCCTTCTGCGCATGCGCAGGGCGAGGCTTGACCGGTTCCGAGTCAAGTGGAGGGGGTAGCCAGAGCCGGAGACCTAGGGAGCTCCTCGGAGCCAGGGACGAGTTCTATAGGACGCCGTTCTGTTGTGAGCGGGTGATTGCAGCGCATTCTCGCGTAGGATCCTAGTCAACTCAGAGGATCCTTCCCCCCGATCCTCGACTCATCCATCGCCCGCTCCAAAAGTGAGGTTAAGCCGGAGATTGAAAAATAACACATAAGGCGGCTGAATTCTTAAAAAATAAGTATATTTTTGGCGTTTTTCGACCCCTTTCGAC